CCGAAACTCCAATCACACTCTTTTAATCCATCATCACAAGTGAAAAACCTGGGCGTAATCTTTGACTCTGAGCGGACTTTTATTCCTCACATCAAGAACATCACAAAAATAGGTTTTTATCATTTAAAGAACATCGCCAGAGTCCGCCCCATTCTCTTTCGGCCAACACGGAGACGCTGATGCATGCTTTTATCACCAGTCGCATTGACTACTGTAATGCCCTGCTCTCTGGTCTTCCCAAAAAGAACATTTCAGGTTTACAATTACCTCAAAACTCGGCCGCACGTGTCCTGACTAAGACCAGGGGGCGGGACCACATTACACCGGTTTTAAAATCGCTGCATTGGCTCCCCGTGTGTTTCAGGATCGATTTTAAGGTTCTTTTAATGGTTTTTAAATGTCTTAATGGTCTTGGGCCTTCTTATCTTTCAGATTTGCTTTTATCCTATGAGCCTTCCCGGCCCCTGCGCTCCTCCGGCAGCAGACTCCTAACCATCCCCAAAGTCAGGACACACACTCACGGCGAGGCATCTTTCCAGCACTACGGCCCTCGTCTCTGGAACAGTCTGCCGGAGGAGCTCAGGGCCGCAGAGAACGTTCATATATTTAAGAGTAGGCTCAAGACGCTACGCGGAGTAGCTTTTGATTAGTATTTATTATTTATTATTGCTTTTTAGTACATCTATTTATGTTTTTAGACACATTCTATTTTTATTTATTTTTATTATTTAATATTTTTAATCATTTATTGTATCTACCCATTTACTTTTGTTATTGTCAATATTAGGCAGCTGCCATTTTTCTTTTTATTGTCACATTTTATTGTTCTACTTTCTATTGTATTATTGTATTGTTTTAGTATCCCCAGTGTTTCCTCTGGAGGAGCCCTCTGCACTGAGAGCTGGGGTCTGCTGTGGCTTCGGGGGTCTGGCTCTTGGATCCGGTGGGGGTCTGGGGCCTCCCCTCTCCTCTGGGTCCTATGGGGTCTGAGTCCTGGGCCTGGTGGGCCTGGGGCCCCTCTCTCCTCTGGGTCCTGTGTCGTTCCCTGTGGCTGCAGCCGGCTCTCTGCTCCTGGTGCAGATGGCTCCTTGGATGACGCTTCTTCAGCCGGTTACATCTGCTCCCAGCCCCATTTCTTTTTATTGTTTTACCTATTTTACCTGATATGACTTTATACTTGTATGTGTGTGTGTGTGTGTGTGTGTGTGTGTGTGTGTGTGTGTGTGTGTGTGGGTGTATATGTGTGTGTGTGTGTGTGTGTGTGGGTGTATATGTGTGTGTGTGTATACGCATGTGGTTGTATATATAATTATAAATGTGGTTTTGGGGGGGTCTGTGGGGAGGAGGGTTTAGGGCTGGGCATGTTGGATTGTTTTTAACTAAACTGTAAAGCACTTTGTGTTACACTTTTTGTATGAAAAGCGCTTTATAAATAAAATTTGATTGATTGATTGATAAGCGCCATAGATAGATTTTTGTGACACAATCACACATAAATGATTAGTCATTATATACAAGTAGAATCAGTGGCTGAATTCTAGAGGAATTCTCTAAAACCTTCACAACAAAGTATACTATTCCTATCTTGGCTGAGCTTAAGTTGACTGGATGACACTGTGAACTAGTGTTTATGACCTCAGACTACTTTAGGTTAGGAAGACAGAGGGCCGCAACTGTCCCACAGGGTTTAGTTTGGACATGGCTGCTGTAGAGCCTGATGTTGCACTAATACACTGTACATAGTACAATTTGAAAAGGAGTAGATAGAAGGAAAACTTTGTTTTCCTATTTCTTTTTTACATTTTCTTCCTTATATGGCATTAAAAAGGATTCATTTCATCTGACAGTCAGAACTTTCATAAACATCAGATATTGGTCTTGATAATAATGGACACTCATTACAATACAATACAATACACAATACAATTTATTTTTGTATAGCCCTAAATCACAACAGAAGTCATCTCAGAGGACTTAACAAAACCATTGAAATCACCAACACAGATCAGAGAATCAACAGTTAAAACACATAAAGAATATAGAACACATGTTAAAAAAAAATGTCCATACATGTTGTAGAATGTTAAAGTGTCCTGGATCATCACCACATCCTTTTTGTTGGACACTAACTGTCCAACAGACCCTCCTGCATCTGCAAGGAAAAAAAATCATGAATAGTCATATTTTAAAGGCAGATTAAACACCAGTGATGTTCCAGGATCGTGCTGCCGTTACCAAATAAACTTCAATGTTGTGTTATTCTTTTTATGTAAAGCATTTCAATGACGCCAAATATAGATCTCTGAGTATTGTGGCAAAGCCTGAAACATGCAGCTGGCTCAACCCTACAAAGTGTAACCCTTTGAATCAGGTCTGAACTATGTATGTTTAAACACAGACTGCCCCCTAGTGGTAGAAGTACGCCAAAGTAGAAGCAGCACTTGCATCAGAAATGAGACCACTATCAGAAGATAATAATATCATTTAATCTCTTGTCCTCACTGCAAAAGCAGAAGTCGCTGCTTTGGCTGCTCTCAATAATGGGAAGAAAAAAACACATATTTCAACATTTTATGGAAGATATGTTTCCTTGTACAATGTTTTCATTCGCTCTTCTGCAGAAAAGTTAGGACAATGTATTTTAAAAACAATAATATTAATGCATGAAAAAGTGCTCGATAAAACCAACACATTATTATTACATGATTATTATGCAAAACCAAATGTATTATACTGTATATACAGTACAGACCAAAAGTCTGGACACACTTTCTCATTCAATGAGTTTCCTTTCTTTTCATGACTATTGACTGTAGATTCACACCAGGCTATGTAAGGGCTGTTTGACCAATAAGGAGAGTGGTGGGTGCTGGGCCAGATGACCTGGCCTCCACAGTCACCGGACCTGAACCCAATCCAGATGGTTTTGAACTTGAACCCAATCCAGATGGTTTTGGGGTGAGCTGGACCACAGAGTGAAGGCGAAAGGGCCAACAAGTGCTGAGCATCTCTGGAAGCTCCTTCAAGACTGTTGGAAGACCATTTCAGGTCACTACCTCTGGAAGCTCATCAAGAGAATGTCAAGAGTGTGTGAAGCAGTAATCAGAGCAGAAGGTTCTACTTTGAAGAACCCAGAATATAAGACACGTTTTCAGTTGTTTCATACTTTTTCTTTTTATTTATTTATTTGTTTATTTGACAGGGACATTGCACAATAAATGTATTGTTCAGACCGGATATAGCTACAAGCTAATTTTCATCCGTAGTCCCTGAGGCAGAGGCAACGTGACAACGTGACAGCAGGTTTACAGTGTGCAAAGAATTGATAAATAGAAAGAATGAATGGCCTACTTAAAATACAGATAAAATACAACACCTCTAAATCACACAGTACAGTACGTTAGTTTTTAGTACGTACATAATTCTACATGAGTAAATTCATAGTTTTGATGCGTTCAGTGTGAACCTACAATATTCATAATCATGAAAATAAAAACCTCTTTGAATGAGAAGGTATGTCCAAACTTTTAGATGTACTATATGAGGATGGTCATTTCTTACTTTTCTATCTGAAAGGTTGATTCAAAAAACACGCATGTGAAAATGTATGATTTTTCCTAGAGTTCCTCACTCTCTAAGAACATTATGTGGTCGGAACATTTCTCATTAATCCTTTGCCAATCATCAGGGGCCTTAATTTAAAAGTGGGTGTATAAAAAAGTACTTAAAGAAGTTCCATTTGTGTAATATTTCACATAACTTGGTTTATAGCATGAACCAATTTGATTGAAAAATAAATATGAATTCTGCTGCTGGAGCTGTGTACTTTTACAGTTGTAGTACATTTTTAATGCATGCGGTGAATCAGTTACATTTAAAACATGTTAGAACCATGAGCCAAAGAAAATTCCTCCCCATTATAATGGAGAGTCCAGTTGAGGCCCTTGATGTATTTACCTGCAGAAACCAGCAGAGGGAGATATTTCAAAATAATTCACACCTGCTGTGACGCCGAAGAATATTTGTGCAATATGTTTTTCTACCACATGATGGTGCCATTTTATTAGATTTAAAACTAGATTTTTAGGTAATATTTAGACGTTGCAAGTATTTTGACTCAAAGAAAGGTCAACGAACACACACAGTCACTGACTTGAAACTAATGAGAAAATATCGCATGTGAATTGAGAAAATATCTGTATACTGCACCGAATTAGTTAGAGATGATTTGATCTTTTGCCCCAAATGAACCAGCATTTTTTATTATTTTACATTTCTTTTTAATCCCTTTATTCCAGAACATGGATCACACAAATCCACCAAACAATTGTACATTCTGTAAAGGTTGGTTAACACTTTTGCTATATTATGAGGAATTTTTTTATATTTTGTCTTAATTTCAGCTCTAACAGAAAGTAAGTGGCTAGCTCTTAAGTAGCTTGTTTGCGGCTGAACTACTGTTATCAGCTAAAAAAGTGTTTAAAAATAACCCATGATTGTTCAATGCTTTTTGACATATTAGGGCCATTTAATGATGACTTGACACTCAATTCTTACGAATAGCTCCTTTAATTCTTTTGTTCAGAAAGTTTAAAAAATGATGTCCGTCTGGGGATGTAAGGAAATGAAGTAATTTCAAATCAAAATATTACACACAGTCCTGTTAGGTCTTGTGCAAGCCTTAAATCTGGAGTACACTTTCTGAATTCATAAAAAAGAGCCATTGGAATATAGAATTGACTTGACAGATAAATGTAACTGTTATGTACCCTGACTTTAATCCACAGCCGTTTTGATCTGTTGATAAATCATAAATTAAAATGTGTTCCACCTCCTCCTGAAGCCCCTGGGTGTGTGCTCAAACTCATCTTTATTAAATTTGTTTAGCTCCTATGTTTAATCCGGGAAACTCTGCTGTCCCGAGGCCTCTCCACAAACATGCAAAAAGCTGCTCCAGGACTGAAGCTACTCACTTAGTTTGTGATTCACACTGCGACCAAATGGTTTCCCTTAAGCTCGCCGCCGTGGCCTGTGAGTATGTGCTACAAGGGCACTTTAGACTTTCTCTTCGATTCTGTAAGACTTTGTTCACTGTGACTGCTTTGTCTTTCAGTTGTGGCTCTGTCCATGGTGATCAGAGGTAAAGTGCAAATTCTGTTTCCTCAGGACATCAGTCTGACTCTAATGTCGGAGATTTGTGTTTTTGTCTCTTTTGAGCAGTGACCGCGATGGGGCCCGACCCAGGACCAGAGCCTGAAGCTGACCCACCTGTTCCTGAAGCTGTCCCACATGCTCCTGATGCAGACCCACATGCTCCTGATGCAGACCCACATGCTCCTGATGCAGACCCACATGCTCCTGAAGCCCGAAAGTGTGTGCTTTTACGCAACTAGTTTATTTTCTCTGCATTTATTATTGCTCTTATTGTTAGGATTTATCAGGACAAGAATGTCAGTGTTTTTTCATTTATTTGATAGGGACAATGCACATTAATGAACATCAGTATAAAACAAATGTAAATATGCCGGATTATAGCTATAAAGCTAGTTTTTATCTGTGGTCCTTAAGGCAGCAAATTACATGGGAAATGACAACATACAAAACAAGAACATACAACATAACACAATACAACACAGGCAGCAGAGGGAAGTCTAGTGGTCACTTTTCAGCAATCGTATTGCCATTGAAGGTCACAAACTGGGTATTTTCTTTAGTAAATAGTGAAAATGAATAGAATAATCAAGATTAGATCGAAAGGATTGGCTGATATATAATTACACACAATAGACAATAACAATAGCAATACGCATCAAGGGCAAATATGTTTTAAATGTGTTCTATCATGACTGTCTCTAATACCGTTTCTAGTCCACATGGAGGGTGTCGAGGATGAAGACACAAATACAGCCACTCATACAGCCCTTGTGCATGGAAAATAAAATGATTAATTCTCATGTTGTATCTGTGTTTATACTTATCTTACAATACAGTAGATTTAGTTCATGGCACCAGACTAACATTATGTTTCGTTTCACTGGTGATCCACTGCTTTAGGCGCACAAGACATTTAACAACTGAAAAATCATGTCCATGTCTGTTGTTATCAATAATAACACCTGATGTATGTTAAAGGGGTTATTCTGTTATTTCAAAGTAATGTGTTACACAACAAAGTTACTGTCAATGAATTTTAAAGCATTATAGTTCCACTGCATTACTTTTAGGTTACTTTCACCAAAAATATATATACATAGTAAATTTATCTTTTTATGCTATTGCGTGAGATTGATAGAGCTTTTGGTTTTACCCATAAAGTGCACTTAAAGTATAGGAGGATTTTCTACTTCCAGGTGGATCATCAAGGCTATTGGTTCTCCCAATTGTCAATCATTCTGGTGATACGTTCTCGTCAAGAAAGACCAGAAAGTTTTGTTCAAAAAGTGGGGTGGGCGGTTCTTTCCTAAAATTTGGGAAAAATCCTCTTAGATACCTTTAACTGTTATGTTCCGTATTGTCTCCAACAAACTCAAAACTATGGGAGTATGTACATCTTGTAAATGTGCTACTAGAGCCTGATTCTGCTTCAGCTTCAGCCATCTTCTACCACAAACGATAACAACATCTCGGCAGCTACTATTGGCATGGATTTTATTCTCTTCTGCTGAGCTCGCTGTGGCAGTATGAAAACAAAACAGAATTTTATTTCAGTTTAAAACGCAATGTAACGCATATTACTGACCTAAAATATTACAGTGTGTTTTTTTTTTTGAGTGGAATGTTTTTTGGTTTTTTTTTGGAATGCCTTACGTTAAAATCAGCCAAAAAAAATTACATTACAGTAGTTATAGGCATCTTAACGTTTCTGCCTACTCCTTTTACAATACAATACAATACAATTTATTCTTGTATAGCCCTAAGTCACAACAGAAGTCATCTCAGAGGACTTAACAAAACCATTGAAATCACCAACACAGGTCAGAGAATCAACAGTTAAAACACATGAAGAATATAAAGCACACATAGAAGAAAATGTCCATACATGTTGTAGAATGCTAAAGTGTCCTGATCATCACCAATCCTTTCTGTTGGACACTAACTGTCCAACAAGACCCTCCTGCATCGACAAGGAAAAACTCTTAAAAAACCCAGTGGGAAAACGTGAGAAACCTTGGGGAGCACTAGGGAAACCCACAGGGAGGGAGACCCATATGAGAAAGGGATCCGCTCCTCCGGACGGACAGGCTAATGATCTAGGACCTAAGCTAGCTACAGAACGTGGACCAGTGGCCGCTGAACGTGGACAGGTCCGGTGCAGGACCGAAGCACTCCCAGGCGGGTCGGGCGGGGCAGTCCGCAGGTGCAGATGGAAGAGGCCAGGCTCAGAGATCCCGTCATCGTACCATGAAACAGACAATGGGACAACGGGTGAATAGCAATGAACAAACTACAGTCAGAATCCTAAAAATGCTAAACAGATAAAGTAGGAAGGAGGAGAGGATAGTGCTCAAGTTACCATACTTCTCCCAGCAAACTGAATCCCTATGCAGCTTGACTAACACTCTGAGGAGTTTAACCTTCTCCGAGTCTTACCTTCCTAGCCATATGCTAAACTAAAGAGGACTGTTTTAAACCTAGCCTTGAATAAAGAATAACATACAGCATAATATATAACATAATATACAGCATAACACAATACATTATTGAATAATATATAACATAATATATAACATAATACAGCATATATATATAATATATACACTACATATTATATATTACCTAATTATATGCTAAATTAAAGTAAAGTGCTTTAAGCCTGGCCTTGAATGTGGAGACCGTATCTGCTTCCTTAACATAAATGGGAAGCGGATTCCACAGTAAAGGAGCTTGGTAGCTAAATGCTCTGCCACCAACAGTGACCTTTGAGACCTTAGGGACCACCAGACGTCTGGCGTTTTGTGAGCGCAACGCTCGACCTGGTTGATACGACACTAACGTGTCTTGGAGATAAGAGGGAGCCAAGCCATTTATGGCTTTATATGTTAAGAGTAGGATTTTAAACTTTATTCTGTACTCCACAGGGAGCCAGTGGAGTGATTTTAACACCGGAGTTATGTGCTCCCTCCTTTTGGTACCTGTTAAGATCCTAGCTGCTGTATTCTGAACGAGCTGGAAGCTCTTCAAAGAGGCTTTAGGGCACGCTGCCAGTAAAGCGTTACAGTAGTCGAGCCTTGAGGTGACAAACGCGTGAATGAGTTTTTCCGCGTCACTTTTAGGAAGGAAATTCCTAATTTTAGCGATGTTCCGTAAGTGGAAGTACGCCGTTTTAGTTGCTTGGCTTATATAAGCCTTGAAGGAGAGTTCTTGGTCAAAAATGACTCCAAGATTCCTCACAGTGTTACTGGGTATAATACCGACATTATCGAGAGTAACCATCTGTTTAGTGAGGGAGTCACGCAGGCGCTTCGGACCGAGTAGGATCACTTCTGTCTTCTCCGGGTTGAGAAGTAGGAAGTTAAGAGTCATCCACATTTTAAGGTCCTTTATGCAGGCACTGAGCTTTTCTAGCTGATCTGTCTGGTTAGGCTTCATCGACAGATAAAGCTGTGTGTCATCTGCATAGCAGTGGAAATTAATTCCATGCTTTTTAATAATGTTTCCTAATGGCAGCATGTAGAGAGTAAAAAGAATCGGTCCGAGTACCAAACCCTGCGGCACACCGAATTCCACTCCAGAATAAGGCGACGAGTCCTGATTCACATTGACGAAGTGATATCGATCTGATAAATAGGATTTAAACCAGCCAAGGGCTGTTCCTCTAAGACCTATATCACATTCTAGCCTCTGCAGTAGAATGCTGTGGTCTATTGTGTCAAATGCAGCACTAAGGTCCAGTAGGACCAGCACTGACACTTGTCCATTATCGGCAGCTACTGTAGTAGTAAGTCATTTGTGACTTTGACTAGTGCCGTTTCAGTGCTATGATGAGCTCTGAATCCTGATTGAAAGACTTCAAACATATTATTTTCCTGCAGGTGGCAGCGGAGCTGCTCAGCTATAAGTTTTTCCAGGATTTTAGATATAAAAGTGAGGTTTGAGATCGGTCTGTAGTTTGTAAGTATTTCTGGGTCCAGGTTTGTTTTCTTCAGAAGGGGTTTGATTACCGCGGTTTTAAAAGCTTGTGGGACATAGCCACATTGTATGGATGCGTTTATTATATTTACGATAGGCTCAATTATCAAAGGAAGTATGTCTTTGAAGAGCCATGTCGGGACTGCGTCTAACATGCAAGTTGAGGTTTTTGAGGATGTGACCACAGAGATCACCTCTGCTTGGCTCACAGCCATGAATTTATCAAGGCCCACTGAAGAGTCTAAGTGGGAAGTCACGTATGCCGCTTCAGCCTGTCCACCACTAACAGCAGGAGTAACCTCCTCCAGCTTGTCACGGATGGATGTAATTTTATTATTAAAGAAGTGGAGAAAGTCGACACTGCTCAGTGAGCTTGGAATTTTAGGCTCGATTGCGCTATGGCAGTTTGTGAGTTTAGCGACGGTGCCAAACAAAAATCTACTGTTGTTTTTATTCGCTTCTATTAAAGTTGAATAGTATTGAGTTCGAGCCCCGCGAAGGGCCTTTTTGTAGTTTCGGAGACCTGCTTTCCACTCCCTGTGGACAGGCTCCGAGTGGGAGTGGCGATATAGCCTCTCCAATTTTCTGACGTCCTGTTTTAAAGTGTGGAGTTGAACACTGTACCAGGGCGACGATGATCTAATCCTAATGGTTTTCTGTTTTAAAGGAGCTGCTGCATTTAATGCAGATTTTAAAGACTCCATAGTGTTGCCCACCGTTTGGTCAATGACTGAGGGACTGCAGCTGCTGTGAACAGGTTCACCTGCAGCAGTATTCAACATAGGCTGTATTGAGCTTTTGAGGTTTAATCGTCAATAGCTCAATAAATAAAATAAAATGATAAAAGTAATATTTTTTTTTTTTCCCACCATGGAATCTAATTAAGCTTTGTTCATATTAGATTCACAGCAAACACCCGTTCTCATGTAGTGGCCGTTCTTAAGTGCTCTCTATGATACAAGGCTAAATTAATTTATCACCGCTGGGAAAAGGTTATACAGGAGTGATAAGAAGAGTGGCCCCATCATCACCTGAGCGCTTACACAACACCAATCAGCATCATATGAAAACAAGAGGTGGTAAAAGCTGGTCCAATAAAAGTCCTATTGTCCCATTGTGTCTAATTGCGGGCAGTTTTAATAAATGAAGGTGGCTTTTGACTGCACAGTGGAAGATCTACAACTCATAGTGCGTCACGCACTATGAGTGACGCACGCAGGGGGCGGGGCTTGTACAGCACTGCAAAAACACCTCCCTGGTTATTGCTTAGTCTGAGCTTCTTGTCTGATGAATTAATTCTGTGAAATGTTGGGATTGCTGACCGACATAAGAAAGTGTTTAAGCAAGCATTTGCACTGGTACAGAAGACGGTATCCTCATGTCCCTGCAAACACATGTTACTTTTTGATTCTAATGTATTCATTGAGATTGTAGTTTCATGTACAAAATAAGACAGTTGTTAGTTAGATAAGGTAAAAGAAAAGATTATAGTGAATGACACGTGTACAGTGACTGCAGTGTTCTTTGTACTGTCTGGCTCCGCTTCATACAGACATACACACATAATTTCAGAGTAAATAGTAATTCCAACTATGCTATATAGGCCTCTGTTTTTTATTAGTTTTTCCTTGCTGATGCAGGAAGGTTTAAGAATGAATGATCTGGCACGTATAATGACATTTATTAACATTTATGAACATTGGCCATCCCACTCCCTTTATGGACCATCAGCTCTCATGTGTTTGGAATAATTACTTATTTAGGGCTATACAAAACAGCCAAATCCTTTTTGCATAGTAGTGGGAGAGGTGTGTGGTCAGAGAGTGTTTGGGCCTGTGTCTTATTGTGTGTGGCATGTGTATTTGTTGGGTTGTTGTGAATGTATGAGACGGGTGGAAGGCATATTAACGTTTGCTTCGTTCAACCTCTGCTTTCAAACGGTGTATTTTGGTTTATTTCGTGTCTTGTTTCATAGATTTTTTTATTTTGCATCTTGTTTATTGTTTTTTTATATATATAGTTTAATTTTGCATACGTTTGAAGTAAAATTCTTACTTCTAGTACTTTGTTCTGCAAGCATGCGAGCTGCGTAACCAGTTAAAAAAAAAAGACTAAAACTAAAAATCTGGCTTTCACATGCACGTTTCACAGAGCTCCTCCCCCTTGTGTGCGAGCAGTGGGCAGGTCCAGGATCAGCGCTGTCTGTTCCCACCGACAGGCGGAGATGCTGCTTCACACTCCCGGGGCCAGCCGAGACTGCCTGACCACTCCACACGCACCACCACCTCCGCCAGGCTCCCACACAAGTACTCTGAATTAGCGAGTCCCCTTTAATGCCTGCGACATCTGCGCGTCTCCTTCCCACTTTACGCAGCGACCCAGACGCAGCGTTCCAACCTGCGGAGCGCGAACAGAGAGCCGCCTTCAGCACCACGGGAGCTGTCCAGTCTCAGTACCACCTGCTCTCGACACCTGCCTCTGCTTCAGGATGGCCCGCACACACGTCCTGCTGCTCTTTGCTTTGATTGCAGTGATGCAGACGAATGCCTTCCCAACGCCAGCACCAACAGAGGGTGAGTGAAATGAAAGCAAAATCGGAACAACAATGTGCACACAAAACTTGGTGAATCGGCTGCTGCTATCTCTAAGGGCTCCAAATGTACAGTAGAAAACAGACTCGTGTGCTTCCAAAACATCACACAAAATAGTATAGTATATAGTATAGTTATAGTCGTACTATATTCGGCTATTGGGTTCATTCAATCAAAATGTATCTGTATAGCACAGTTCATACACAATGCAACTCAAAGTGCTTCACATTGACAACATTTTATAGCAACAATCAGGAGATTAATCCAACACAATGTAAAACTCGCTGAAAGGGCAATTTAAAACACTTCCTCTGGTGAGTTTTGTGATGATGAGTTTTGTGATGATCAGCTTTATACATGGCTAAAGAGAACTGTTTTCATCCCAGGCTTAAATATAGCCAGGGTATATGAACAGCTTGTTTCACACCTTCAGAAAGACTGTTCCAGATATGGGAGTGTAGGTCTGGGATGCTGCCTCCCCATGCATGTTTAGTCCTGACTCTGAGCGCCAGCAGGAGGCCAGTCCCTGCGCTCCTCAGAGTCCAAGTTTGTGCTTATGGCACTAACAATTTCAGATGTACTTTGGTGCGAGGCCATGGAGAGACTTGTAACAAACAGAGCTGCTTTAAAGTCTATTCTCTAAGCCACAGGAAGCCAGTGCAGAGACTTGAGAACTGGACTAATGTGTTCACTCAATGCGCGTTTACAAAGGGCTTCAAAACTCCCACATGTATTGTAATGATAGCTGTGCTTAAGCTCTATTCCCATAGCCAACTAATATTAAGTAACGCACTTAATGGGTGCAGCATTCGTTCAGATTTCTTTTGCATTTATAGGCTTTTTTATTTTTTCAAAAGGCGTTGTTCCTTGATTGGCTCGGTTGCATTATATCTTGCTTGTTTGAGGGATAAAGTTGGTGGTCCAGTTCAGCCGTGTCTGTCTGTTTCCCACACGCCTGCCTGGTCCCATGCTTCGGCCTGCATGTGGTCTATTTTAGCCTTGGTTTAATCTTCTGTTGGTTAATCCGATTTAGCTCTGCCTGCGCGGTGTGGGTTTGAGGAGCATCTAGTCCAACGCATTACACAAAGATTTAATAACAATAACCCATTCGATAGCCTACTTTGATTCCAGCCTGTATTGTTCTAATGAGGATATTTGGGAATAGAATCAAAACCTGATTGTGTTGCTTTCATTTCATTGTTTTATGTATTTACGTCTCCTCCCTCACCAAAGGTCATGACCTTTGGGTAACGAACGAAAGGACGAGATCACAGATACAAGCGCTCCACATGAGTTTTACCACCGAGTGAGATACTGTAGGGGGTGGAGCTCAGTCACGGGAGGATCTCGCAGTAGAGTTGCTGCTTCTCCATGTTGAGAGCAGCCAGTTGAGGTGACTAGGGCAACTGTTTCTGATGGAGCTGGAGGATGTGTGTGTGGATTGGAACATACACAAATGAAAGAAAATGGATGGAGGTTTTAAGTAAAGCTTGGGCACCTGACCTTGAAACCACAAAAAATAACCATCTTATAAACTCCATGTTGTGGGTTCAATCCCCCCCATGAGACCAACTCCACCTACTCCCACTGATGTCTGCTGTCAATGTGTCCCTGGGCAAGACACTGAACCTGACTCTGCCCTAAGGTGAAAGACCACTCCTCTGTGCCGTCTGTGACCCAACACCTGCAGGTGGATCAGTGAGAGGCTGTTGACGAGTTGTTTTACAGCTCACCCGTTAGCTTCCATGCCAGTACTCATTCACCAGGCTATTTTCACAATAATCAGTAAATATAGTGTTCAGTTGGTAGAGCATTGGCCTTTGAGTCTGAAGGTCGTGGGTTCGAGCCCACCACGAGACCTTCTCCATCAACTCCACTTATGACTGCTGTCGTTGTGTCCTTGGGCAAGACACTTAACCCCACTTCAGACTAGAGCAGCCATCCTCATCACCTGCAGGAGGATCAGTGAGGGGCTGGTGCTCTGTGGATTGGGTGCAACTCTGACTGCCACCCCCCGACCCAGAAATGAATTAAGGGGAAGAAAATGGATAGATGGACATTAGCCACACTATATAACACACTATATAAGCTGCAGGGTTTGAATAACTATATAAAAATAGCAGCCTTTTGTTCGGAAATTACAGTAATTTAAATGATACAACAGGGTCATATGGTCAAAAATATTTCTATAAAAATAAAATGCAGTTGAAGTTGCCATTAAAGCTTTATTGGACATAACAAACTTTTTCAGGAAATCAAAAAATGTTCTTTTTGACTTTTTTGTGTTGCAGACCAAACCGTGTACAACAGGCAGCTGACAGAAGAGAAGCCTCTCATAGATCAGGTATATTTATCAGTCTCACTTTCATTTCCTGCACAATATCCTTGACCAGGACTTGTCAAACAGTGGATGATATTGGCCAGCCAAATATTTTTCTTTTATTATCTGATCCTGTCTCCATGGTGGAAATGACTTGTTTAATGTCTGTCATGTTGCCAGATCGCCGAATCAGACAGCGTGAAAGCTGCGGTCCTGTCAGCCGGTAAGTGCATCAGCAATCAATTAATGAGCGTGCTAGCTTATTCTGAGTGGCATCATGTTGCATCCCTTACAGTAAGACGGACGTTATCGAGAGTATTTTTAACGTGAACTTTGAGTAAGTGTTGTTTCCACACAGAGAGCAAAAATCCAGCTGCATCCAAGGACACAGCGCAGGACGGGGATGACTTCAGCATGCTCAAGTCTTTGGCAGAGGGCCAGAAATCCAAGATGGAGCCCAAAGAGGCGGCGGAGCAGACGAGCCAGAAGAGCGACCAGTTTGTGCCAGATGAGTCCGATTCGACCAAGAGCCGGCGCCTGGCAGAAGACTATGACTCCACCAAGATGAGTGACGCAAAGTTCCAAGGTAAAAACGCTTTTAACGGGCAACGTAAAAACAACAAGATAAGATAAGAGAACCTTTATTAATCCCACGGTGGGGAATTCTGATGATGCACATACAGGACAGTAGTAAGAACACACAGGGAGCACACAAACAATACAATATACAAACATGCTGGACCATGACTGTCACCCCCTGCAGGACACTCTGTCTACTCTGGAGAGTAGCTTCAGTGGCAGACTTATTCACCCTCACTGTGTGAAGGAGAGGTTCCACAGGTCTTTCCTTCCTGCTGCTGTCAGACTGTACAATGAGAACTGCTCAGCCTAAACACGTCATTCATCTGTAGTTAGTCAATGCTGTAATCATGTGCAATACTGCAATTTCAGAATGTGCACTGAATGTCACTTTATCTTTATCCTGCCCTACATAGAGATCTATCGATATATTGATATTGAAGCATTTACAGCTAGCTTAGCGTAGCAGCTACTTATATTGTATATTGCGTGCTCCCTGTGTGCTCTTGTTTACTACTGTCCTGTACGTGCGCTACAACATTGAAATATCCCCACTATGGGATGAATAAAGATGTTCTAGCAAAAAAACCTAATCTACTGAGAAGACAATGAAAACAACTTCTTATAGTTATAAGTTTAAGACAGATATGTGCTTTTCAGAGCAGCAGGAATTAAATATATTCTGAAGATTTGTCAATGGAATGGAATGGATTTGTCAACAGTATAAGCTAAAACTATCATAATGTGTCCCTTTAAGTATTTGTGAGAAACACCTTCTTAATTCAAGTGCATATATTTTTAAACATTTTGAGGTTAATTATTTAATTGTATTGTGAATCGTGTGGGAATTGTGTTTGGGGTAATTGCTTCATGTGTTGGCTTTTTCATATGTAAACTTGGAAGTCGTTGTTTGGACGTTTTAAACATACAGGGCATCAAAGACCGCCTTGAATGTTGGTCAGAAATATCCCAGTTAGGTGCCGCCTTGTTGTCGGGGCCTGTTGCTGTTGGTGTGAGTTTTTCTTCCCCCCTGAGCCGCCGTGTGCTGGAGTGTTTGTGTCACAGCAGGAAGTGACATTAAGACATGTGCCGGGAGTCCAGACACACGTGACGGATTAACCTGGGCCCTGGAGTGGGCCCTGGAGTCAAGGCCAACGCTGCAGCTTCATACAGGGACCAGGACTAAGGTCATGGTCCACAGACATGTAGCATTCGTTTGACTTCAACCTTCCTAACTTTGAAACCACTCAAAATAAATCAATGTCACTATTTTCTCTCTCTCAAAACAATGTGGTTCTATTGCTAGTTTTTGCATGCATGCTAACCCTTTTATGGGCATTTCTTCCGTGGCATTAGCTTTGCGACGTAAGGGGGCAGATGCGTTGCTAAGATGGTTGCTAAGGCAATCTGGAGTTTCCCTCGAGAATGACAGAGTGTGGCATCTATACTTATTCTGTATGGATCATATCTGGATTTACAGTCAAGTCAAAAGGAGCCAGAGCGGAACTTTGTCCATGAGTACTTCCTTATACGGGTTCATTGAGCTAGGGGTTAGCGTTGTCCGTCTATTTACAGTTGATGGGTCACTGTCATATGAAAACCTTTGTAGGTCGTATTTATATTCATGTTTAAGATTGCTGTGGGAAATCTGTATATATTTTACTTATTATTGACTACTTTAGTGGAATGTTTTGCAAGCATGTTTGTTATGACTGTAGGTCTTATCATTTCTATTTCTATTTCTATGTGATTTGGCTTGGTATTATTAATATTATTTTTGGTTTCCTGAGAGGTTATCGGCTTTCCAGACTGTTAATAAAGGTATCAGCCCTATAATTGTCCCCCAATCCTGGCAATTCTTACAAATACATAATAATCAAGTTGGAAATAATATAAATATTTGATGATAATTAGGTTTTTAGATCAAAATACACACATTCTAGTTCAAGACACTCATTGTATTTATGTTATAGATTAGATACAAGATAGATTATAGGTTAGATAACGATTTTTTACCATTGATCTTGAATAGATATCTTAAAATATTGTATTCTGCATTTAACGTGCTCAGTGTGTGTGTTTATCCTTGTCCACTGCTTCTTTTGAAAAGCCATTTCAAAGGCTCAAATCTATTCAATACTTACTGGCCTTGATTCAAACTTCCCTTTCACTTTGCTAATGTATTAGACTCAGCCGGAAGCCAGGCCTCAGAAGACTTCTGTCATCTCCCACTGTTTTAAAACAACAAACTAGTTTAAAGAATGAGAATGTAAATGTGTGGATTTATCACAATAAACCAGGCTTAGATTGTTTCTACTGGACAAGTCCTTTTGTGATTTTTGTAATTTATTTCACGAACCATGTTTACACAAGTTACCAGTAATTTTGTCAGGCCGTAGCTTTAAAATATTACATGGATAGATAGATAGATAGATAGATCTGTTTGTCTGTTTCTTTGAAGTCCAATAGGAAAGTGCTCATGGACGAAGTTTTAAAACTCCTCTAGTTCGCTCTCTGTGATCGTGGTGTTTATATTGAGATATTGTTTTGTAAATCCAGATATGTGCCCTATAAGTATTTACCAATCATATCTCTTCATTCAAGGGAAAAACTCCACCTTGTCTTAGCAACCAGCCTAGCAACACTTCTTCCACAGACAGACATTTTTTGTTAATATTGTTGTTCATAAAGTCCTCTCCTACATCTCTAGTCTCTAAGTGGTAAAGAAGCAGCTCAAATGGACATAACATTGCTTATGACCTTGTATGCGTCTTGTTCCGGAAGCTGCTCTTCGGTACGCAGTCATTTAATACCAGAATCCTCCTGTGAACCGAGCAAACTGAGACGCCAGGCTCTGAATAGCACTTATTCATCGATTCAAAATTAGCAATGACAAACGTATCCGGTTACGCTGTGTTTAAAAGAGGATGGAACAAAGAGGCTCTCTCTTTTCTCACTCTTCTTGCTGAAATAGACAGATTTGTACCAATGTGTGGATGATTCTCGGGCGACTGAAGACGTTCTTATTTTAACCGCTTGGACTTTTTGAGATGAGAGGTGTTATGTAAGAGCAGATTTAAAATAATGGTATCTGATCGAGAGCGCAGTCTACTGTATCTCTCTGGGAGACTTACTGTATATGCTGTTGTGCATGGGATTGCTTCATTCACACAGCATCAGGTTGAATGTGGACTGGACGAAAAACAAACTAGCCCAGGCCCACAAAACGAGAAAAAAAGTCTAGAACCAAAAAAGCAAAGAATGTAAAAAAAATAACATAAAACACAAGCTGAGCCGCTTAAAAGTATAATCTCTGAGCCACATGAAGCCAGTGCAGAGACCTGAGAACTGGACTAATGTGTTTGTATTTCCTGGTTCTCATCAGGACTTGGGCTGAAGTCTGAAATACTGCAGCTGTTTCAGAGCTCATTTGGTGAGCAGCCGTTACAGTCGTCTAACCTACTGGGAAAAATGCAGGATAAGAATCTCCAAGTCTGTTCTCGACACACTGTACTTTTTGAGTTCAGTAAATCCTAACCTATCATTGGTTAGGTCGAAACTGTAACCAAATGGTTTTATACATCATCTCATATTGTCTGTGGCAGATCTATATTCCCATACAAACGCCCTCTATTTCAAGGCTTGAGAGTGAAGTGTAATCCATTGTGATGAGAGCCATTTTACTCAGTTCAGTTCAGTTCAGTTCAGTTTAGTTTTTGTTTGAAAGGGACAGTGCACATTAGCATTAAGCTCAAAGACAGACATGTTCTGCACCAGATAATAGCTACACAGATCCTTTCCGTCTGCAGTCCCTAGATACATGTAAAAAAAAAGAGAATAACAATAATAACAACACAATACAATACAATACAATACAATACAATGCAATACAATACAATGCAGTAAACTTGCAATAACATAAACAAAACCTCACACTCACATACGATATATCTCTTTTTCAAATCTATGTTAACTATGTGTCAACTGTGTGGACTTTATAAAGACACAGACAGTATATTGTGTGGAAAATGCTATCACTGCAATGTTACCAGTCACAGAGGCCACTGCGCATCTCTTCTTCTCCCATTTCACAATCGATTTCACTCTTTTCATTCTATTCCCGAAAATTGGTTGAAAATATCCGCTGTATAATTGCTGAACCCAACAGCCAAATAATATATACCATGTTTTTTCTATCCTTCCAGCAGATGTCCCGGAGACTTTTCGTCAGGTGGATGGCACTCCGCTGACGGCTGAAGACATCGTGCAGAAAATCGCAAATAAAATCTACGAAGAGGACGACCGCGGAGTGTTTGACAGAATCGTTTCGCGGCTTCTCAAACTGGGGCTGGTGAGTGCGCCGCTCATGGGGTTAAAAGTCTTGTTTATTCCAGGTATGTGTTTAATTAGCATACCATGTGACTTTGAAGGAACTTTCATTGTATTTGTGTCCTTTGGCAAAACCCTGAAACCACCACTGTGTTCTGAGTGAATGAATAATAATAACACAAAGTGATGAAAAAAGTGCTGTATAAAACTGATCAATCTCAATCAATCAATATTTATTTGTAGAGCGCCTTTACTACACAGGGCAACACAAAGCGCTTCACAATCCACATCACACAAGCCATTAATCATCACATAAAACCAAAATCACCATTAAAAACACACACGGGATTAAAATGATAAATAACCACAGTGCATAAAAAATAGAGATGACATTATAATTATTGTTTATATTTTCTTGGTTCTGACTTTTTTGTTAAATTTAGGGTACGTAACTTTCAACCCACAAAAAATGTAACCCTCCAGGTGGGAGGTTTTGTTAAACTTTCAACCTACAAAAATCTAACGACTGCAGTTCCTGGCTCTAAAACACTTTTCACTTTTATATGTCTGACCTCTGACACATCTTAAGATCAGCTTTTTCAGGCAGAAAAGTGAAAAAGTGAGGACCACCCTCCCTCAGCCAATCAGCTCTCAGCCCAAAGCATCAAATAACTTTGTATTTCTCGCATGCAAAAGGTTTTTTTCTGATTTGTTTACAATATTTTACTTTTACACGACTCTTTCTGTTGGGACAAACAACACGCATTATTCGTTATTTTTATTTATTAAGGTCTTTAATATAAGGGCCTTGTGGGGAAATACAATGCAGTTGAAGAACAGTAAAAGAATGAGATGCATTTATAAAAACAAGATAACAAATAACTATTCAATATATATTTCAATCCTCAAGAATCTTCAGCTAAAAAATAACAGTTACTTCATAAAAAAAACAATATTGAAAAAGCAGAAATAAACAGCTGCAAACGTGAAGGTCAAATGGGTCTGTTTTTAAGTTGAGATATTTCCCCTTGAAACCTGTATATCTCTGTTCACATTATGGTTGTGTATGGCTTTCATCTGAAAATATGCACATTGAACACAACAAAAAACATGCACCCGGAGAGCACATACTCTGCCGAATGCACAGATCATCACACACACACACACACCATTACAATAACCCTCCATAAAATGTCACATGGCAAAACCTATTGTGTTATTATTTAAGGTCCTTTCACTGAGACCACTATCACAGCACTTCTTAATGCCCGTGAAAAGAACCTGTGAAAGCATAACCCATAAAGCAGGTCGCTATTGCTTATTAGGCACTCGTTATATCACATGGATCCATTGGCACCAGAGGAGCCCCGCAGGAGGTCTGACATTTAACAGTATGACCTCCCTCTGAGCGCGCGCTGTGGGACGGACTTTGTGAAATGTGATTTACTGAACCCAAACCAAGAGATCTTTGCTGAAAATTGCTTTTTTGCCACTCAATAAGTCATTTCCCAGTGTTAGAAGGATTTACTTCAGGGTGTCAAATAAGTTCCGAAAAGGTTTTTATTCCAGCCAAGCAGGAGCACACCAGACTCCACCCACATCAGCCCTTTGAGGACCAGTTTGACATCCCTGGTTCAGCTCTGTGAAAGTAATCTTAGACTTCAGATTGATGAAAGGTTGCGATGGTATCCAAAGCAACTACTGTAGTGCATTCATGTTTATAGGTCAACTGGTGCTGGAGAGGTCCTGTGGAGGAGGTCAAGTCTCTCAGGTCTTGTGGGGGGGGGGGGTAACAACCACCAGTAACCACCAGTTACCACCAGTAACAACACTTTTCTGTAAATTATGTCTTCTCTTGTTGGTCTGGTTCACTTTAACTGGACCAAGTGTGGTTCACTTTAACTGGGCCAGTTGTGGGGTTCACTTTAACTGGGCCAGGTGTGGTTCACATTAACTGGACCAGGTGTGGTTCACATTAACTGGGCCAGGTGTAGTTCACATTGACTGGACCAGGTGTGGTTCTGAAGCCGGTTTCTTCTGGTTTGTTTGTGTCAGATCACAGACACCGAGGCGGACGCTCTGGAGTACCAGGTGGCTGAGGCGCTGCAGGAGCTCATCACCAAAAACGCTCTAAAGAACGAAGTGGAACAAAACCAGGACGAGGAAGTGAGAGGAGAGAGGGAGCAGCAGGAGGAGCAGCAGGGGGAGCAGCAGGAGGAGCAGGAGGCTGATGCAAACACGGTAAAAACTAGTACTGTTGCTTAACTTATGTAAATTTTTGGTCTTCCAATATGTAGTGTTTTTGAAATGTGAGTTGTTCTAACTTTCCCAGAGCAGTTTTTTTGACGGCTCCTGTCATTTGAATATAAAATTCTACTTTTCGGCCAGTTGGAAACCGACATTCTATAGCAGTTAAGAATCTTTTTTAAGGTGCTGGTCCTGGACTGGGTTTGGTTCAGAGTTTTCCCTTAGAGAAGAACAAGCGCTCGTTACCATAGCAACACACTGATTACTAGCAGCATTTAACATATCAACAAGCATTTTCTAAAAGTGAGTAAAGGTAAGAATAAAAATAAACTAATATATGTCTTGGTGAAAAGCTACACATTTTTGGGGGGATTTTCTCAGAATTCCATTAGTTCGAATAGGAGCAGTCAAAATGACAGCTCTGGGAGTTTCAGAATTCTGGCCTCAGATCCTTCTACTTGGTCATCCATTAATTCTGTTTTTTCCAAAGAATATGTGAAGACAATGGATTCTGAGGCCAAATGTATTCTTCCAGATTTGTTTATGGATCAAAAGTCAATGTTGCAGTTATTTCTGTAGCAGCGATGTTAATGATCCTGTCTTTGGGTCCGCAGTGGGACAGCTCTCCACAGCGGCGCTTCAATGACGATGAAGATGAGGAGGAGGCAGAGGACACCGGGGACGAGCGCTGGGACAGAGACGCTCAGAACGAAGTCCACCCCAACGACGGCCTCCAGGACCTGCAGTACTTCCCCAACTTCTACCGCCTGCTCCGGAGCCTCGACTCAGGTGACACCAGAGAGCCACCTGCCCTCAAACCCCACCGCGAGAAAAAGACCACACACAAAACATGAAATTAGATGGGAACAGTTAAAGCTTGGGTACCTAACTTTAAAACCACTGTAATTGAACTATGTAATAAATCCAACTTGATTCTGGCTCTAACTAGTGATAACACATTTCTATCTCTAGTCATCCCATGCATGTATTTTCGCCTCTATCACATCTTTAGACCAGTTTTTTAGATAGACAAGTTAAAAAGAGGTGACCAACCTCACTCAGCCAATCATCTCCTAGAGCTCTTTCTTACAATTACAGTATACAAAAGATAACATCCATCCATTTTGTACTGCTTTATCTACGTTCAGACTGCCCTCTCCACACACACTTCCTCCAGCTCATCCGGGGGAATCCCAAGTTGTTCCCAGGCCAGCTGAGAGACATAGTTCCTTCAACGTGTCCTGGGTCTGCCTCTGGTCTATAGCCACTGGCCCATAGGGAACAACAGGATCAATGTCCAATGTGAATAAATGTATAGCAATTTTATTACAAGGATATCGCATAGAATTTTTTTTTTTTCACTCTGACAATATATCAAAATGAGACACTGTTATTATAGGTTTGCAATCACCCGTGGCCTGATTGAAAATGGACGACTGACTGGAGCCTGAGTGGACAATCCAGTCAACAATAACATCACTTGTTCCACGGCCTGATCCCATCGTCATAATTGATTTTTCCTGTTTGTCATTGTAGGGTTTCCTCTCATGAAGCTGTACGCAAACATGGCCCTAAACTAATTATTTATAAGCGCATCATTATAACCCTGCTGCATTTCTCTCCTCGATGCCACCAAACTCAACAGATCATTTTGTTTACATCAATAAGTAAATACAAAATAATGACACGACTCAATTCAATTATATGTGTTTTTGTAAAGCCTCTAAATCACATCAGCAGTCGTCTCGGAGGTATTCAGAGTCACAAACAGTCCAAACACAGGAAGTACAATCATACCAAACACATTGGTTCAGAGGGGACAGGATGACCACTATCCATACATTTTAATAAATATCCTTAACGGTCCTAAACTAGCCCCATGAAAACAAATGAAGGACTTTTACTTCATCAACACAGCGCCTCAGACCTCTCCTTTGACAGCTTTTGGATGATTTTTAAGCAATTGTAGTTAAAGCTGAATTCATCAATATAACACATGCTGGAACTGGTACTTTTCCACTTGAATGTTTTTGTAATCTGAAGGCCAAGCTACTGGCACCAGGCCAAATGCTGATTGGACTGTTTGTCTTTGCCCGTGTCTATACCATCGATAATCAAACATGTCTTCTGTCTGTCCGACACAATACCCAGACGCTGTCATTTTCGTCAGGCTTTTACACGTTTATGTTAATGTACGTTTGAACCGCAGAATCATCACTTTCTGCTGTTTTTGAGAATCTGCTACGTCGAGTCCCAGAAGGGCACTGGTTTTAGGTGGATCACTTTTTGAGTCACTATATCTGTTTGAAGCTTGGGACTGAAATCTACCTCTTTGGGACATCTCACTTGGTTTTGGGTACTTTCACATCAAACTGCATCTCAACCAATTGGTATAGGCCTAAAATAAAAATAAAAACTAGGTGTAAAAAGTGGTCCTACATCTTATAAAATCCCAAAAAAGAGTGAACATTAAAGGGTTTGACACAAGATGGAAGCCACTGAAGCAGCCACTATGCGGTTTCACTTTTAACATTTATTATTAAGTAATTTTTGTCTCTGATTCGTCTGCAGAGAGAGACACCCAGGAGCGAGAGACTCTGATCACCATCATGAAAACGCTGATCGACTTTGTGAAGATGATGGTGAAGTACGGCACCATCACACCAGAGGAGGGCGTGTCCTACTTAGGTAATTACAACAATTGTAAGACGCTGGTCTGTGAAAGGCGCAATATACATTAAACTTACTTACTATATATGAACTGTGCAGCTTTGCTCCAATCAATTCATAAAACCAGACTAAATAAAAACATATCTATCGTTTATATATATTCGGGTGTGGGTTTTTTTGTGTTGTGCTGCCGGTGGTGGTTTTGCTAGTGCTGATGGTTCTGCTGGTCTGTATGTTGGTGTGTATGTTGGTGTGTATGTTGGTGTGTATGTTGGTGTGTATGTTGATGCGTATGTTGGAGTAGAGTGATATCTCTGAGGCAGCATAAACAGCAGTGCGTCACAGATTAGCATCAGTAATGTGTGCAGAGCTCGGTCACCTGCAAAGGACAGCTGTCGGCTCAGATTGTGTCTATGTCGGATAATAGAGGCTTAGTCATACGAGGAAAACACTAGACAATGGCCTTTTCACAAAACCATGAGGAAAATAGAGTGAGTGGGAGACGTGTTTTCCATTATTCTGTCTGTTTTAGTATGAAGTAGATGTTTCTGTTGGAGGAAATGGACCTCTTGTCTTGTATATGTTCAAATGCAGTGATAAAAATGGATGTACGATATATGTCTATAATACGGACTATAGAATTATATCCTGAAAAATGGTCGAAATCTCTTTTATGTCACAACTAGAGGGACAAATCAATTAGGATGAAGAGATCCTTTTGTTTGTCCCACCGTGGGGAAATGTCAGTGTTGCATCACAAGTTCCAGAACAGTAAGAATGAGGTAACAAGTAATAAAAAGTTAACATATATAAGGTATGTATATATCTGTATACAAAGAAATATACTAGTATGTATATGGATAAATCTCTAATACACTCTAGTGCAAGAATACAACAACATATTGTAATAATTCAAGCACTTTCAGCAACATGTTGTTTTGGGACGAGGCCTCAACAAATGGAAAGAATTTAAAAACAAATTTTATACGACATGTTGTCTTTGTAAAATACCATTTAAAACTAAAAGAGTAGTAGATTATTAATAGAACAATACGCAATTTTGATTTTTTTTTTCTGGTATCAAATCATAGTGTGGAATAGGGCTGCACGATATTGGAAATTAGAGCGATATTTTATATGAGTGTTAAGTGTTTCGATAACGATATTATTGCTATATTTTTGTCAAATTGCAATCTGCATTGAAACGCAAGAGACAAATAACAAAAAATAAGTACAACAGTAATGACATTCAAATGCATATATTTATTAACTTTTTTGTTTGTTTGTTGTTCTTGTTGATGTGTCTGTTTTGTCATCTTTTCGATATGGATATCACACACACCAATATCACGATAATGATATTTTTTCAATATATTGTGCAGCCCTACTAATCTACTCGTTCATTTTAATCCATAACGTTTTTTGGGGTATGGTATTGTCCAGGAGCCAAATGGGAAGAGACCTAAAAAATGGAAAGAAAGTAAAAACAAATACTAAAATACATGTTGTCTTTGTAAAATACCATCTAAAACTCTTTACAATTATATCTTATGCCACAATAGGCCAAAGAAAGGTGACTTACTATCTATTTTCTATTCAATCATGTTCACATAGTTTATGAGTGGTCGGATGTGCTTGTCACAGACATAAATGAGACTTATGTCACGACAAACGCCTTAATCAATACTGACCGACCTGTGTCCCCTGCCCCTTTGTGCTCCAGGAAACAAAGCTTAATGACTGTCCATATAAGGCCTGGAAGTAATTCTAGAATACGCATCACCCTGGCAACCATCCGCAGCACAGAGAAAAACAGATGGAACAGAATGAGTCCATGTTATAACATTTCTACAAGTTTTAGCTTTTTGAAGTTGAAGACAAGAACCTACTAATACTATATTTCTAAATAGTGAGAGTCTGTGTGTGTGTGTGTGTGTGTGTGTGTGTGTGTGTGTGTGTGTGTGTGTGGTTTGAATGGTGTGTGTGTATGTGTGTTAAGTATTTGTTGTATTATCATTATTATGTATATATATTTAGGCCCGAGCCCCGAACGGGGTAAGGGCCTATTGCTTTCACAATGGTGAAAACAAATGGTGGCGGTGCGTGACGGACGCGTCAGCGCCCGTCACTCACCAAAATGTGACGGTTGCGTGCGTAAACTCAAACGCTTTAAAATGATGTATCACGTGCCATTGAAACCTATATTGTTTTTGCTCGAGACGTTAAAAAAAAAATTCCTTTTTTATTTCTTTCTTTCTTTTTTCTTCTGCACTTTGAGCCTTAATTTGACCCCCTGAACATGCATGAAAAGTTGTTAATTTTGGCCCAAAAATCACACCTGGTGAAAAATTTGATATTTTGGTGTTTATTTTTATGGGACTCAAAAAATGCCAGAACAGCGCCACCTACAACAGCCAAAATAATACCCCTATGGGACTTTTTGGAGGTCAAGTTTGTCGTAGAAACATGAAATTTGGTACACATGTTCCTCAAGACAAGACATGAAAATAATATTATTATGGCCCCGCCCTCTGACAAACAGGAAGCCCATAAATTTCACTGCAAAATGGAAAAATGAACAGCAAAAGTTTTCATACATGTCGGTTGGAAAGCGACTCCTCCTCGGCCGTTTCACCGATTCGCCTCAAAATCGCTCCACATCATCTCAACACATGTACCTTCAAAACAACCTCAGGGATTTTTGATCAGTGAAACATTGTTTGAGCAGCGGAGCGGCAAAATGTGACCTTTTTTTGGCCGTTTTTGACAACATTAAATTTGCTCCCGTTTGCACAAACAAAGTCTGATTTGCACAAAACTTTAATACATTGTTCAACTCTAGGGTCTAGGTCATTTGAAAGTGAATTGATTCAAATTGACACATTAGCGCCCCCTACAGACTATTTCAAAGTTTTAGATGGGCATTTTCAAATTTAGTTTTTTCAAAATGTTTGAAATTTTGTGCATAAATCTTTTTTGCCCTCTTGATTCAAAAAGTCAATAGGGTCCAAGGCTTATTTTTTACCCTGTTGCCGTGGCGACGACAAACGCTCCCCATTCATTGCAAATGTACACCTCACACAAACATCAAACCAGCCTCGGCCGTTTCATCGATTCGCCTCAAAATCGCTCCACATAATCTCAACACATGTACCATCAAAATGACTTCAGGGAATTTTGATCAGTGAAACGTTGTTCGAGCAGTGGAGCGCCAAAAAGTGGCGTGTTTTTTTTCAGTTTTTGACAATAGAAAAATTGCTTCCGTTTGCACAAACAAAGTCTGATTTGCACAAAACTTGAATCCATGGTTTAACTCTTGGGTCTAGGTCATTTGATAGTTAACATTTTGAAATTGGCTCTATAGCGCCACCTACAACAGCCAATTTAAAAATGCCTATGGGAGGGGTTCAAGGTCAAAATTGTTGTAGAACCATGTAATTTGGAACACCTGTTCCTCAAGTCAAGACATGGAAAAAATATTATTAAGGCTAAGCCCTCTGACAAACAGGGAGCCCATAAATTTCATTGCAAAATGGAAAAATGAAAACCAATCATTTTCATACACGTCGGTTGGAAAGCGACTCCTCCTCGGCCGTTTCACCGATTGGCCTCAGAATTTTTACAAATTATCTCAACACATGTACCTTCAAAATGACTTCAGGGAATTTTAATCAGTGAAACGTTGTTTGAGCAGCGGAGCGGCAAAATGTGAGGTATTTTTTAGCAGTTTTTGCTAACATTAATTTTTTTCCCGTTTGCACAAACAAAGTCTGATTTTCATTAAACTTGAACCCATTGTTCAACTCCAAGGTTTAGGTCAGGTGAAATATTTGAAATTGGCCCATTAGCGCCCCCTACAGACTCTGTCAAAGTTTACATGGGGAGCCAAACCAGCTCTACTTATCATATTCATTACGATTTGACTAACATGCTTCTATGGCTACGGGAACAAATCATCACACGGCGGTGCCACCTCCTTTGAGCAGTGCTGTGTGGTGCGGCGTAGTGCGGGGCGTTGTGGAGCGGCGCGTTGCGGCTTGGTGCGGGGCGGCGTGGAGCGGCGAGTTGCGGCTTGGTGCGGGGCGGCTTGGTGCGGGGCGGCTTGGTGCGGGGCGGCGTGGTGCGGGACGGCATGGTGCGGGGTGGCTTGGTGCGGGGCGGCTTGGACCGGGTGGTGCGCGCGGGGCGGGGAGTCGCGCGGTGCGGCGAGGGCCGTTCGACGCCGCTTGCGGCTTTAATTTTGTTTGTTTTTTGTTTGTTTTATTTTATTGTTTCTACTCTGCTGTTCTATGTTCTTTGTATTTGATCATGAGGACCCCCCACAAAAACGAGATGATACATCTCATGGGGTTTATCCTCCAATAAAATGTCTATAAATAAATAAATAAATAAATGTTTATGAAAACCATAGAGACCTAAACAGTATACTAGACGGATTTTTTAAACATTTATTACTGTATATAGTCCATCTGCGCGTTATTGTTGGAACATATTAATTTTAATGAAACGCCACATCACTTTTTACAACCCACGTTCCCCTGCGGCCTTGCTTTCTGCGTTGTCATGGAGATAAAACGATGGGATTCCCGTATCTCCTGGCTCCAAACGCTAAACGCCACGTCTCCTCCGCCTCCGCTAACATGACTCATGCTGTCACACTGTAAAACACGACTAACAGTACGTGGCTCGAATCAGGCAACAAGAAAAAGGAGTTTAGTCCAGTCTGAAAACAAGAATTACAAGACATTACTCTGGGGATTTTAATTTTTATTTCTATTACTAACACTATTCTATTGTATTTAATTGATTTCATGTTCTGTCCTGATGTGATTTGACTGATTTTAGAATTAAACAGTTGGAACACATGAATACCCCTGTCCATAAATTGTCAAATAATTATGACAATATTGTTTATTCAGGATTTTAAACAGGCTGAAATTATGGTGTAGATGCACAATAATAAATCATATCTTTAATCTACTACTGACAAAGTTCAAATCCAGGTCTAAAAAAGTTCTGTTTATCTGTGCATACAACTGAAGGATTTTAACTTCACTCTTGACTATTATTATTTATGCTTTTAAGTTGTATGATTATTTTTTAATCTTGTTTTGTTAAGTACTTTGAGTTGCCTTGGTGTGTGACCTGTGCGATACAAATAAACTTTCCTTGCCTAAAACATATTTTAGGCTTTCAAGCTGAAAAATGACTTACTTTTTGGTACTGTCTAATATATATTCCAACATAGATGTTTTTTTTTTTATTATTAGTTCAGTTTTTGCAGTGCAGTCAAAGAGAGTGGACACATAGGGAGGGAGCAGAGGATAGCAGCTTTAATGAGAGCGCTCTGAGCCACAGGTGCTGGAGGAGTGGAGGAGTTAGATAATAGAAATTATGTGAGAGTGGATATTGCAGCAATGAAAGCTTTTGGAAGAGGACAGGGTTAATAAACGAGTGTGCTCCGGGATTTTTCTTAAACTGTGAACTGTGTTGGATCTGGTGTGGCTGATTCTGTCTACATGATTGTGATCCCACCGTTCGCAGCTTCTAAGAAACCCAAAGAAAACATCTCCAAAAATTAGAATATTGTGAAAATGGACTAAGTCGTAATCATCAAAAGCTTGGCATAAGTCACTTGTAATAGTCGCATTTAATAGGTCTATACAAGGATTTGTTTTAAAATTTAAGTTTAATTCAGTCCAGTCCAGTCCAGTTTATTATAAAGCACTAATAAAAACAACAAAATAACATAAATAAATGAACTTGTGAGCGATATTCTTTGAGTTTCACATAGATACAATCCTTAAGGCATCCTAATTCAGCCAATCATCCAATAATCCTGCCGCTCACAACTGAAAAAATCTCAGCAGTGTTTTTTCTCTTAGTGTGTCAACCTGTAATTTACATGTAGCATTTTTAAACTTAAAGGTACGTGTAATTTTTACAGTTGCTCCAAATGTTACCTTTTTAAGAATATTTACCTCCATCGTGTTTTTTAATTGTTTTCATAGGAGTAGAATTTGACTTATAAATAGCTGCGAACTCTATGCGCCATCTTGGAATACAGTGGTAGATAAGGGACAAAAAGAAGTTTGAGAGTTCCCAACTTCTGCTCAAAGACAACATATCGTCCTGCGAAGCTACCATAGTACCGTAGATTACAATATATAATCTCATCGCTAGACGGGAGTAAAAACTACAGTGTACCTTTAAATTTCCAAGGCAAGTTTATTTGTACAGCACAGTTCATACACAACACAACTCAAAATACTTAACAAAACAAAACACAAACACACAAGGCATTAAAATCCTAAAAAATCACGTAAAAACCTATCATAATAAAAGCCTGCTCCGTGACGGCTGTGGCATATGTTCCGAGTGCAGCGTAGGGACACAGATTCTGTTTGTTTTGGTTCGTTGGCGCTCCGTCATTTCTGAGTCAGCGATGGGTGTTGTGTCCGCCGTATGTACGGTCACAGTTGGTCTGAAGCGTGACATGATATTGATCTGACTCATGTGAACTCGATGTGCTTTTTCCACACTTCCTGTTGTTTTGTGTTTGCCGAAGCGTGGATTTGAAGCCACCGCTCCTCGTGTGTCCTGTTTCCTTTCGTTTCAGTGGCTTTGACATCAACCCTAAAGGTGGGTTACCTAAAATTAGGTTCTAAATTTAGATTCTAGAAATTAGTTCCTTGCTTTAAAGTCCTCAGAGACGACTGCTGTTGTGATTTAGGGCTATACAAAAATATATTACATTGAATTGAATTACCACATAATCTCAGACCATGATTATAAAAGGACTCTTGAAGGGGAGTCTCTGTGCTGATTCAATGGATGCAGATGGCTGGATTTTTCGGAGCCTTTTTAACCACATTTTCATTTCATTCATGTTGTATTTTAACCTCTTTAAAAAAAAATATAAATATTGGTTTTCTTATTTTCTTATTTCATGTATGCATAGTCATATAAGAAAATACAGTGATTTTGGATTTGATAAATGTTCATTATCGATCAAATCTCAATTCTTACTTACATCTCCACTGTCAGAAATTGTCTTATGGTTTTGCCTTTGATAAATTAATTAGTTACAACTTTTCAACTGTAAAGAAACAAAACATGATTATATTCATTAGTTACTCTGGTATTTGTGATTATGTTTTTCCTCTTAATAATAATAATGCATTGGGTTTATATTTTTTTACCCTTAAAGATGCTTTATATGTATTTTCTCATTCACTCCAAACACGTTGGTGATAAACTGCTACTGTAGCCACAGCTGCCCTGGCGCACACTGACAGAAGTGAGGCAACCAGTATGTGCCTTCAGTCTCTCTGACCGCCACCAGCCGTTCACACACTCACCTGACTCATTCTAGGCAATGTGGGTGAAGTGTCTTGCCGAAGGACACAACAACAGCTTGGCACTTTACAGACGCAGCCAATAGCGTTCCCAAAGGTCTAATCAGACCCTGCCCTTCTTAGCTTCTGAGGTCTGACAGGATCTGGCTTTTCACATCCAGGGATTCTTACTGTGTTAAACTGAATCTTTCTGAGTTCTGCCATAGTCATAGTTTGTATTTGCAATGTTGGATCCCATCTATTTGCTCAAAGATAGGCACAACATATCATTGTTTTGTTAATGTGAATAAAATAAAATAAAATCAGTTGAATAAAGAAAGTATGGCAAACCAAACCCATAATTTTTTTGCTTGTATTTATTTTTATCTATTGGGTTATTAAATGTGTTTACAGACCTTATTCACTATTAATAGGACTATTAAACATTGAGTGTTAGCTTAGCATCATTCCTACGGTGACGCATTGCATCACCACAAGGATTTTAAAAAGCTTTCACCATTCATCATTTTCACTCAGTCATAAATCCTGTTTGCGTTGCTCGGCGGACATCAAACTGTTCTGAATACACTGTCATGAATAAGACATGGCCATCTCTTATTCAACCGTTTTCATGAATTCACCGGATCCTTTTTGTGATGATAATATTCCAGGGACATCCATTAAAAGGCTGTGATTCATCTTCTGTGGAGGACATATTGAAATGTAAAATATGTTTGTTTGTGGTTGCAGAAAACCTGGATGCTATGATCGCGCTGCAGACCAAGAACAAGCTGGGGAAACCTCTGGGACCAGTCGACTTCACAGGTACCAGCTCCTCCAGGACCAGTCAGAAACAACAGTCAGCATGTGTCAGCTTCATAGACTGTTTACAGACGGACTGTAATGTAATGGGCTATATGCACGGGGAGGCGTGACGTCATTTCCTGTTAACGCAGATCAGCCCGTTCACTTCCTGTTTATGCTATCCTATGGCATTTAGGTGAGTTTTAGTGAAGTTTTTTAGTAATTAGATTGATACATTCAGCTGTGAGACTGACCCAAAAGTGTCGCTGTGCTTTCTCTCTGAGGTAGAGCTTTGACTGTGGCCACTCAGAGCGATTTGTAAACTTTATAAAAAACACAATAACGGCACAATCAAAGAGCACTGTTGTGTCCCAAAAATGCCCAGTATCCTCACAGTTTAATTCACGTTTGAGCATTATTTGGGAAACTCGTGTAAACCACTGCTGAACTCCAGTGAAACTCAAGCTGTTTCCCGCGAACAGGAAGTGAAGTGGGGTTGTAGCTAAAACACGGAAGTGGAGCGTGCATAGAGCCCATTAAGAGATTGAGTGAGGAAATGTCAGTGTTGCATCACCAGTTACACAAATATTAGGAATGACGAGCAGACAGCAAAAGATAAGTGAACAATAACTCTATACTTAAAAATTTAGTAAAATAAAGAAGTGAGTCTGACATTTTAGCATCATAACTTTAGCATGATAAAGAAACAGTGTAAAAAACTGTATATTCTTGCAAAGCATGTTTAATACTGTCTATTCTAACTTAGCATCATTATTATTTCTGCAGGAAAGGGCTTTGATGAAGACGACAACACGAAGGCAGAGGCGGCGAAGATGCAGAAGGAGTATGAGAACCTGAAAGACTCAACCAAAGAGGAGCAGCCTTCACCAGAGACCAGTCAGTGAACAGACAAACACTGACCCCATGATTTTAGACACCGCCGCTCACTCTTCACTCAAAGCTTAAAACAACAACTCAGGGAACGCTTTTGTAAATGTTATAACAGTATGGTTCTAAAAATGGGCTGTAATCGTTCACATTGAGGCTTTTAATGGGTGCGATGCTAAAGCTAGTTTTGTATTTTTCCCAGCCTTTGCTTCTTGCTTTAGAGATATTTCTGTAGTCTCCTTTCTATAGTGCCTTTTCCTTTTGATTGTTTTTTTACTTCTTTTTTTTAATTCTGTTTTGTATCTTGCTTTATATTTTGTTTTTTTCCCAATAAATATTTTTTTGAATTGCCCTCCTGCCCTCCTACCTTCCTCATTCAGAGATCCCCCAAGATAGCACACCTTTTAAGTTGAACCCCAGATTGCTAACCTTGTATGAATGGAAGTGTTCACAGTGTGACCAGTAAGGATTCGAGTCAATATATTTTTGTGTAGTCTTGAATCGCAACAGCAGATGGTTTTAATCAAACTGGTCGAGCACAGGAAATACAATAAAAATCATTGGTCCATAGGGGGCGGGATAAATGTCAGACCCGTCAGTAGGAAAGAAGTGAGAAACCTCGGGGCACTGAGGAGCATTCTTTTTTAATGTAGAAAATGATATTTATAAGGATTTTTTCAAACACTCCTACACAAACGGCATGATGCTAGCAATACTAGAAATTACACGATTGATTGATTTTACAATTGATCATTTTTTGAAAGCTTTGAACAATATTCTCTTATTCACTCACTCAATGGTCTCTTGGATTCTGTGTGGCGACCCCGCTTCCATCATTGAGTGGATTTAGAGGGAAAATGCCTAAAACTGTTGTCTCTTAGGGGCTGTTAAGGGCTGAAATAAATCTTAATATCAACAACTCCCCCATCCCTACAATTTGATCATAATCCCAGCTTCATAAATCACAACTTGAATTGTGAATGGTTATCTGAAAAATCACAGTCGTGTATATATTTTTCAAAGCGTTTTCAGTGCTTCTGGTCCACAGTCAGGAAGTGACCTTGTCCTTGGCAGCTCTGGTTTCAGATCTAGGCCAGGACAATCCCGTCACAGCAGGACGTTCGGCATCGCCCGGCTCCACTAATCCAGACTTAGACACACACAAACGCTCAGATTACCAACACTGCAGCGCTTTTATTCACGCAGGAGAAAAGAGACACAAATGCCCACTGTCTGACAGGGCAAGGGTCACTATGGAGCTGTACGCTGCTACTGTCTATAAGTGTCAGAATATCATCCAAAATTAAAATATTCTTCAAAGAATGTATGTATTTCAAACCTATATATGATATTGACTTATTATATGCAAAAGCGATATAAATTACCTTTTAGTTTGTTATTTTTGTGCCCTACTCTACTCTACTCTACTCTACCCTACCCTACCCTACCCTACCCTACCCTACACTACACTACACTACTCTACTCTACTCTACTCTACTCTACTCTACCCTACCCTACCCTACTACCTACACTACTCTACTCTACTCTACTACTCTACTCTACTCTACTCTACCCTACCCTACCCTACCCTACACTACTCTACACTACACTACACTACTCTACTCTACTCTACTCTACTCTACTCTACTCTACTCTACCCAACCCTACTTTACTGTACTCTTCTCTACTCTTCCCTTCCCTACCTTAGCCTATCCCACCCTACTCTACCCTACTTTACTGTACTCTTCTCTACCCTACCCTACCCTACCCTACCCTACTCTACTCTACCCTACTTTACTGTACTCTTCTCTACCCTACCCTACCCTACCCTACCCTACCCTATTCTACCCTATACCTACCTATACTCGCTCACTCACTCACTTTAAACATTATATTTTAAGTGGTAAAACTGGTGAATATAACTTGTACCCACAAACACTCAAAACACAAACACGTGCACAAACACACACACAAAAAACAGACCTTCCCTTTTCTCAGTATATTTCTTCACTAATTCATTTTTTTTTTATAGTTTTGACTTGAATCCTATTTGAACATGTTATTAAAACTTCTGATAAGCCGATCCAAAGAGCAGCTCCACGCACGGACACACACATTTGAGATTTGAGAAGACTTCTAATATTATTCTGGCACACATATTTGTACTTCAACTTTGATTTTTAAGGCTACCGTTCACAATAGGACAAACAAAAGGAAAGGTACACCAGCTTTAAAGGACCGTGGAATCAATATTTTTTAAAAAAAATCCATAGTTTCCTGTTGTTTTATCGATGGGAAGCCTGGTCTGTTTCTATTGTTCTCTGCTACGTAGCTTCCAGGAGTTTGTAATATTTGATCTTATACTTATTCTAGGTCGCCCGGGCAAGTCTGAAACTTACTTGGAGGCCATCAGAAAGAACATCGAGTGGCTGAAAAAACACAGCAACGAAGAGGGGAAAGAAGGTAAGCTGCGTCTTCAGACTCTCCAACCCGTTCAGACAGACTTTAAGAGCCGCTTTAATTGGCGCTAAGCAAGTGCAGCATGAAATCAAATGTTGCAGGCCCTTTGCTAAACTCCCATTTGCAATTTAAATGAAGTGTCCGGGACCAGACGAGAATCCTCCATCGAAGCCTCATGAATATTTATAGCAGCTCTCGATGGCTTGTCCTAATTACTGCACCCGAGGCCTCTGGAGTGGGACACGTTTTGAGCGTGTTGCCCCTCCCTCTCGTCAATGCTCTCGTCAAGTGTATGGAAATAAAACTGTTGTGTGCAGCTTAGCAACTCAATTCTGCTGTTGGGTTGTTTTACTTTCTCTTTTGGTTACATTACTAACAATCAATTCAGTTCAATGTATCTTTTGTGTAGCCTTGAATCTCAACAGCGGTGGTTTGGGAGGACTTTGCGAAGCGGTCAGATCAGAGAATCAAACTGGAATTGCAATGATAACAAACACATACTGTAGGAGCCATTGGTTCATAGTGAGCGGAATGAACACTGTCCGCTGAAAAACTAGCACTGCTATAGTCACTTTAAGTTTTATTGTATGTATAATATATCTTGCACAAAAGGGACTATATTTTAACCATTTAGCATGTACAGTATCTATCTATCTATTCTATCTATACCAAATGTGGCATGTAAATTCCCCCATTGTGAGATCAATAAAGTTTATCTTATAAATCTTAAATGATAATAAATGTCCTTAAATGTGCATGAAGGTCCCGGATCATCACTGTCTTTTGCCCTTCCTGCATCGGCAAGGAACAGCAAAAAAATCCCAGTAGGCAAAAAGTGAGAAACCTCAGGCAGGCCCATATTGAGAGAGAGAGAGAAAGAGAGAGAGATCTGCTTCCACAGACAAACCTGCAAAAGGGTTTGTCCAGGGTTGTAGAATGAGGACTGAGGCTATTTGGGGACTGAGGTGGTTTCTGCAGGCAGTTGTGTGGTTTTGTTTTGTTGTGCTTATTACTCGTAAAATCAGTACATTATGAAGAGTTGGGAATGAACATTATGGAGAGTTGGGCCTAGAAGTATCCTAGTGTAGGATTTATCTGCTCCTATGTGTTCATTATTATTCAATTTCCTGTGTTTGAACTGTTTTATTCTCCAATCTGTTGGTGTTAAAGCGACGACAAGTACTGCCAAAATGACTGCTGTTGTGATTAAGGCTATATCAAAATAAATTAAATCGAATTGAATAACAATCTCCATATTTCAAAGTTCTACAGTACACATAGAATTAATTTTTTAGCTGCAGGTCAATGTACATACAGGCAGAAGCACATACATTAGTTTTTCTGTTTCAAACTCTTTGGTTTTTGCGTCTATTTTTACATTAGCTCAACTTAAAGCTATAAAACATAACATTACAGATCACATTTATTTTCTATGTTAGTTTTTTCACAGCTGAATATTCTCTCTCATTGATCAGGCTTGAGAAGAGAAAGTCGTACAGAGCTCTTCAAAGCCACAAAAACAAACACTCAGCTTGTATCTAACGGAGCGGCAGTAACAGCGCTGACCCAGAAACTGAACTGGTGTGAAAGCTGTGGCCTCCCAATCAATGCGGGACTCAGACATATGAATGACTGATGACAGGGGGGAGAATAATGTGTCAATCCATATGTATAAGATTACAAACTGGAAAACCTCTGCCAAGAATTATTGTTTTTTTTGTCTTGTTTTAGTCCTGCTTTAGACCTGCTTTAGGACTGCTTTAGTCCTGCTTTAGTCCTGCTTTAGGACTGCTTTAGACCTGTTTTAGAGCTGCTTTAGACCTGCTTTAGACCTGCTTTAGGCCTGCTTTAGTCCTGCTTTAGACCTGTTTTAGAGCTGCTTTAGACCAGCTTTAGACCTGCTTTAGGACTGCTTTAGTCCTGCTTTAGTCCTGCTTTAGGACTGCTTTAGACCTGTTTTAGAGCTGCTTTAGACCTGCTTTAGACCTGCTTTAGGCCTGCTTTAGTCCTGCTTTAGACCTGCTTTAGTCCTGCTTTAGTCCTGCTTTAGACCTGCTTTAGGACTGCTTTAGACCTGTTTTAGAGCTGCTTTAGACCTGCTTTAGACCTGCTTTAGGCCTGCTTTAGTCCTGCTTTAGACCTGCTTTAGTCCTGCTTTAGTCCTGCTTTAGACCTGCTTTAGTCCTGCTTTAGTCCTACTTTAGACCTGCTTTAGTCCAGGTTTAGATCTGCTTTAGACATGCTTTAGTCCAGCTTTAGACCAGGTTTAGACCTGCTTTATGCCAAACTGTTGTTGTGCCCTTAGGCAAGACACTTCGCCCACATTGAGTCTGGTGTGTGCGTAAACGCTTTGTTGAGGTTGAAGCTGATCCGACCTCCACAAACCATACTGGTTGCCTCGCTTCCGTCAGCCTGCCCCAGGGCAGCTGTGGCTACAGTAGTAGTTTATCACTGTGTACGGAGTGAATGAATAAAGCAAACCCTTTTTTATTAAAACCGTGATACAAACCCGCTACTCTTTTTGTTGACAGTGCAGATATAGTCTCTTTTGAGGACAACGTTTATTCATATAGCATAGTTCATACACAAGTCAACCCAAAGTGGTAAAAAAAATCTCGTAAAAAGCATTAAATAGTCATAGATTATCACAGTGCATTAGAGAGTGAAGAAACAATTCAGTTTTAGATATAAATAGACTTGTTTTTGAATGAATGTAATGAGAAAACTGATTTGACCCAGAGAGATACAGGAGTAAGACTGGGATGTGTTTGTGAAGCCGAGTTTCCTGATGGTGGGGCGCACAGCGGGGGCTTGTCTCCATTATACAGAACATTTCATTCAGATTCAGGGAGGGAGACAGTTGCCCCTGACGACAAAAGGACTCCAGGGACCTCCAGGAAGACAGCAAAACTTCACTCCAAAGAATTATTTTGTTTCATTCGATTATCATTTCCTTTCATTTCAATTTATATTTGTATACATCAAAAATCTCAACAGCAGTCGTCTGACAAAGGATTTTTTTACAAAGTTGTCGATTCATCAACAACAGATCAGAAAATCAAACCGTTTGAACACAGGAAATTAAATAATATCAAGCACATGTCCTGGATCATCACTGTCCTCAGACCCTCTTCATCGCACAACCACAAAAAAAGGGAAATTTGTAGAAAATATAACCATAAAAACAACTCAACAAACGTTATTCTCATAGTTTAATCTATATGCAGCAAAATCTCAACAATCTTGTTATTTGTACTCGCTGATCAGGTCATTATTGTTGCTCAATTATTGAATTAATACATTGTTTTTGTATTCTTTTTGCGATTGTGTACGTCATAATATATGTACATAATCTTATCCACCCAGTGCAACAATGATTTGTGAATAATATTTTGTAATAACGTTTTAATTCCCAGTTTGGAACCAGTTTTGTTCTGTTTTGGTCCTGCTTTTCATCTGACTAAGTCCTGGTTTAGTCCTGGTTTAGTCCTGCTTTAGACCTGCTTTAGTCCTGCTTTAGTCCTTCTTTAGATCTGCTTTAGTCCTGCTTTAGATCTGCTTTAGTCCTGCTTTAGATCTGCTTTAGTCCTTCTTTAGATCTGCTTTAGACCTGCTTTAGTCCTTCTTTAGATCTGCTTTAGACCTGCTTTAGTCCTTCTTTAGATCTGCTTTAGTCCTGCTTTAGTCCTGCTTTAGTCCTGCTTTAGACCTGCTTTAGTCCTTCTTTAGATCTGCTTTAGTCCTGCTTTAGTCCTGCTTTAGTCCTGCTTTAGTCCTGCTTTAGATCTGCTTTAGTCCTTCTTTAGATCTGCTTTAGACCTGCTTTAGTCCTTCTTTAGATCTGCTTTAGACCTGCTTTAGTCCTTCTTTAGATCTGCTTTAGACCTGCTTTAGTCCTTCTTTAGATCTGCTTTAGACCTGCTTTAGTCCTTCTTTAGATCTGCTTTAGTCCTGCTTTCGTCCTGCTTTAGTCCTGCTTTAGTCCTGCTTTAGTCCTTCTTTAGATCTGCTTTAGTCCTGCTTCAGACCATCTTTAGTCCACATCTCTCCCTCCTCCAGTCCCTTTTGTGTCTGAAGAGCAGCTGAAAAATACAATAGTCTTTTTGAGCCAAACACAGCGCCATGGAAACGGGCCGCGGGCCATTTAGCAGGTTTACTCCGAACACAAACAGCCGATAGGACCAGAGCCAGAACATGCTCATACATTCTCTATAACATTGATTAGAAACAGGGAAAAACCAGACTCTGCCTTCTATATGTAACGCTATAGGAAATAAATATGAAACCAACCAATGAAACTAGTCCTAGAACAGCAGCGTGAGAAGTTTTAAACATTTCTTTTTTCATTCTGTAAAATAAAATCTGATCAAGTTTTAACAAATATACTGTAGATTCCAGGACCAGCTTCTACAACTGAACAGGCAAAGAGAATATAAGAGAACCTTTATTGGGGGCTGGGGAAATTTCTGTGTTTCAGCGCATGTACAAGACAGTAGTAAAAGCACACAAAATATACAGAGATGAATAGTTTTAAATTATCTTTATTTAGGAGCTATAAGTATCAATCAATATCAATTAATACTAATATAAAATGTCAGTTAGCGAAATATGGGCAGTAGAGAAAGTGACATTCTGTGGACGTTGTACAGTCTGACAGCAGCAGGGAGCAAAGCCCAGCAGAACCTCTCCTTTCACAGCGCGGAGGGAGAGGTTTTGCAGGTTTTTGTTCTTCCCTGCAGCTGTCAGACTGTACAATGAGACCTGCCGAGCCTGTACATATCTCATTTGTAAATAATAAATAATGCAAAGACTTTGACTATTAAATGAAGTACTCTTTGTAGTCCAGTGTGTGTTTTATTGTTTTTTATGGATGAACAACTTATAAAAGCATACTCTATTAGACTCGTAAGAAATGTTTCGTCTTCTGGCTGATTCTGACAAACCATCACCACAATTTTAAAGTCTAATAAAATATTCATAATGTAATAGAAAAGGAGCACATTTTCCCTCATTTGTCCTGAGGTGATCCATCATAGATCTAGTCTCTAAAGGGGTTTTCAGAGATAGATAACGCAACTTGGTCGAGAGGAATTTTGCAGCTTGTTCCACCATGCAACAATGAACTCAGATATATTTCAGAGACGCAACAGCCACACCAGACGATTAAAGCTGGGGTACACAACTTTCAAAATACAAAAATGGAACTATAAAACATCCTATCCATGTAACTAGGTTTGGTTCTGTCACTTTGCAGTTTTCACACGCTTGTATTTTTGGCCTCAGTCACGTCTTTAGATCATCTTTTGCAGACAGAAAGTGAAGAGGACAGGACCACTCTCACTCCGCTCTCAGCCCGAAATGTCAATTAGTGACTCAAAGGGCTCATTCTTACAAGTGTGCAAAAGATAACATGTTTTCGAATCAGGTGAAGACAGCATGTTGTGATCTGTTCACAGCCTTTTACATGATTTACTTACAACATGTAGGCCTGTTAGTAACAAAACAAAAAAAGTCAGGTACCCCAGTTTTAACAAAGACTAAGCCTGCTGTATATCCACACCTGCATTTCAGATGTATGCAGGTCACATCTTGAAAATACTTCCTAAAAACTCTTTTACTCTGACAATGTAATGTTCAAATCCAAGTTAAAATGGTTCTGTTTTGCTGTGCATCCACTTGACGGATTGCATCTTCACTCTTCATGTTCACTTTGTGTTTTTATTCTATTTTAATTCACCTTTTTTAACAAGGAAAGTCTCATTGAGATGAAGAACCTCTTTTTACAAACAGTTACATACAGTTACATATGAGGGCAAAAGCAAAAAACGTGTGCGCCCATTACATATTCATGTTTCAATACAGGTTACCATAACATATTTCAAAGAATAAACACTTTTCCAAAATTTTCGGGAAGAACTGCCCTCTCCACTTTATGAGCAAAACTCTGATCTTATTTGTCGAGCACGTATCACCAGAATGATTGACATTTGGGAGGACCCATAGTCATGATGATCCACCCGGAAGTAGAAAATCCTCCTGTATACCTTTAAATATAACGCCAGTTCAACAAAATCATTCTGTTTGGTATCCGTCCACCATCCGTCTTGTTATTGTGATTTCAATTTGTTGTGTGATTTCTATCTTGTTTTGTTTCGCACGTTGCACTCTAGTTGCCTTGTGTGTGAACTGTGCTAACAAATAAACCTGCCTCGCCTCGTCTACATTGGCTTAAACCGAATAAAACTATAGGTCTGTGAGATTAAACCAGAACCAGAGAAGCTCAAGGAGAAACCAACGATAGAATGAAAGTGTAAATTGCTGCGATGTGGAGGCCTCAGATCCAGACATCAGTGAAGTGTTTGACAGCTCCCTGCAGTAAATGAATGTTTGCATTAGTCCTGCTCCACACTCCTGCCTATAACTATATCTGACTTCATTAGCGTTTATGGTCTTTTATGGATGCTGCTGCTGGTATTGTTTGTTCGTCACCAGCTGTTCTTTTTTTAGTTTCCTTCACTTCCCTGTTTTTGTCACTTATTTCTCACAGATGCATTGATGAATTGTCCTCCGTTTTGCATTTATTATTCTTTGAGTCGTTCCTTGCCGATGCAGGAAGGTCTACACATTTAATAACATTTATGGACATTGGTCATCTCTCTCCCTGTGGACCAATGGATCCTATGTGTATTTGTTTTTCCTGTTGACTGCTGTTGAGATTTTGGGATATACAAAAATAAATTGAATGGAATTGAATCGTCACATCACATCTTAAACAGTTGTTGGGCGATAGTTTTCAGTTTCATGTGATCTTCTTGATTGTTGGTATCCTCTTAACTGCAGACGACTGACCTTAATCTCATGTCGTGCACCAAGATTAGATTGGGTTTGGGTTTCCTGTCTCGATAAAACACTAATCTTCTCTGTTTAGCAAAAGGTATGAAAGGTTTTCTCAAGTTTGTATTGATATTGAGAATGTTAAGCCGGCAGAGTCATGTATGTATGTGTATGTGTATGTATGTATGTATGTACAGTATGTATAAGGTTACTGTGTATTTTTGTTATTACATATTTTTTGTTTGTACATCTATTCGTGTACATTCATTTTCATATCAACGTGTCCTGGATGAGTACACAGACCACAGAAAGAATAGTTCCTGCATATTTCAGTTTCTAAGGAGGATCTAAACAAAAACAAAGTATTTTTATTGAGTGCCAAAATTTGACTGTGACATTGACCTCTGCCCAATCAACAGACTCTAAAGGGTCTCGATTCTAAAACCCTCAAGATTGTTTTAAATGTTAAATGGAAATTATGAAAAATCTTTATGTAATTGTCAAACATTAGAATTTACAAAAAAAAAGGGGGGGGGGGGGGGTCTTTGTGTTCTTGGATGAGATTACAGCTGCATATTCATTCTCTGTAATGCACGATGTATGTAAGTAACCATAGCTGCACCTGAATGACGGTGATTTGGTAAGGACCATTGAAATGATGTTGCTTAGGGCCTCAAAGGACCGTCCTCTTTGAGGTTATGGTGAAGGTTACAATTGTTTTCATTGTTCCTGTTGGAAAATTGGCCCCTCCGTCAGTACCATAGGGCCTTGGTCAGGAGCAGTGGTCGGGGAACAAGCTCCAGATGTTGATAAGATAATAAGATAAGAGATCCTTTATTCATCCCACAGTGGGGAAATCTCAATGCTCAATTCAATGTATTTTTGCACATCCATAAATCACAACAGCATTTGTCTTGGAGGACTTTACAAAGATGATTCCTCAGATCAGAGAATCCAACAGTTGAACACACGGGAGGCAATAATAACAAGTACATAGAAGCCATTGATAGAGAGAGGACCACTGTCAATAAAAGTAAATAGATGTTAATAAACGTGAATAAATGTCCCGGATCATCACTATCCTTGAAGTTGGAAGTTTGATTTATTAAAGACAATGTGCAGTTGCATATAAAAGATGGCTACAACAGATTTCGCACCATGCTATTTCCACCTGTAGTCCTTGACAATACAATCATAAAACTTGCATATAAATATACAGTTCAAAAAAAAAGTGCAGGTTACTAAAAAATACATATTAAAATAAAAGTGCAATACAGAGTTACAGCTACAGTAGCAGCGATTTGTAAAGTGTTACACAATTTTCAAACCGATAGCCATTATACCCAACGCTACAGTAACTGAAAGTAAGATCACTCCTGCATCGGCAAGGATCAACAACAAAAAACCGTGGGAAAAAAGTGAGAGACTTGGGGAGGCTCATGTTGAGAGGGATCCGCTCCTACAGTAGGACGGGCTGAAGATCCAGGAATATTTCTGTTTGTTGAGCCTTGTTCATAAGAAGTTCTCTGTATCAAGGCTTGTATTCAGTCTTTCAGCTCTGATTGTACAGTCTTTGAAGCCGTTTTTCTTCTAAAACTCCGGACCAGTTTCTCTGTGTCCTTAATAAAGTACGAATTGAATTGAAAGATAAAATGTCCTTAGTACGTTCTTTTCGGAGCCCGATCAACCTCTCAGAGCTTTCATAATCTCATTCTTGAATGTAATGATCAAAGAACAAGCCCAGAGTAACCCACCTTTCGATTTCTTCCAGATTACGACCTGTCCAAGCTGAAAGACTTCATGGACCAGCAGGTGGACTCTTACATCGGGAAAGGCATCATTTCCAAGGACGAAGGAGGGACAATCAAGCGAATCTACAGCAGCCTGTGAACCCAAAAACCTCACAAACCAGGACTGAATCTCACAGCAAAACCTTTAAAAGCAGAGATCTACACAGCATGGCAATGTACAATCAAAAACAACCACCCCCGATAGCGCTCATAGACAGTGCAGTAATGTCTGGACAATAGGTTTTAAGCTGAATCTATGTGCGACTTAGTTTGATATATCTTAAACTAGAATTATTTGCTAATGCAGCTCAATTGGTTTATACATGGGGGATTTATAAATTTATTTTATCATAAACTGTGTGACAATATAGAAAAATAGGGGTAATATCAGAAATTCAAATTTACACAACGCTAAAAGCATTGATTAACTTTCTTTATTTCTTACAACTCAAAATCTTCGAATGTTCAAAGTGTCATATTTGTCTCCAGCTGTTTATCTACTTACGTTCAGATATCTCATTTTGTGTCACTCGTCCTATTTAGGCTATTAATTTCCCTTATGGTCTAATGTGTTTTATTCAAGCAAAAATATAACCGTATCGTGGTGTATTTGTTCAATCAGTGCCCTTTGCTCTTACTTTTTCAGTCCCGCTCTTGTCCACTAGAGGGAGGCATCATCACTGTCTCTGTCTCTGGCTTCAGTGAGTTTAGAGGCGAAAGTGTTTGTGTGTAAATAAGTGTCATTTTCCTAAAGTGTAAAAGCAAATAAAAGATTGTCTTTTCTTTATGTGTGAGTGTCTTGTGAATGTGTGGCCATACCAACATCTGTACTTTTATTACAGTTGCATCCATGTCACAAACAACAAAAACGCCAGAGGTAATGTCAGTGACATAAAGGTAAATTGATTAAAGCTTGGGTACCGAACTTTCAAATCACAAACGCATCTTACTTGTTCCTCGCTCTGGTTTGTTCACAATGTTGGCGAGTTACATATAACGTTTAAATATTTTCAAAAGGTTTTCATTATATCATGGTGACACTTCCTAAATGATTCCACTTTTTTATTACAATAATCATAATTATATGAATACATAACACAAACACATATGAGCCATTGGTCCATAGGGAGCTGGATGACCTCTGTAAACACACTTGTCCAGGTTGTCACCTTGGGCTATTTTGCATCAATTGTCCCACATTCAACATACATTCATTCACCCTGAACTATTGAATATGTTTTTAGTGGTAGGGAAAACAGGAGCACGCGGAGGAAAACTACACACCAACGACACGGTCTCTCATGGTTCAGCCAAACTGTTTTTGTCCAGACGTATTTCAGGTTGGTCATTTCTTGGCATGTGTAAGATTACAATTTTGAGGTTACACTATACAATACAATACAATACCATTTATTCTTGTATAGCCCTAGGTCACAACAGAAGTCATCTCAGAGGACTTAACAAAACCATTGAAATCACCAACACAGGTCAGAGAATCAACAGTTAAACACATGAAAAATATAAAGCACACACAGAAGAAAATGTCCATACATGTTGTAGAATGCTAAAGTGTCCTGATCATCACCAATCCTTTCTGTTGGACACTAACTGTCCAACAAGACCCTCCTGCATCGACAAGGAAAAACTCTTATAAAACCCAGTGGGAAAAAGTAAGAAACCTTGGGTAGAACTAGGGAAACCCACAGGGAGGGAGACCCATTTGAGAAAGAGATCCGCTCCTCCGGACTATTAGGGAAAAATTTGATTCACAAAGGATAAAACTAATGATAAAGGATAATTCTCTTTGAGTAAAGTTCAATAATAAAGATTACTTAAGAGGAACAATTGACCCGTACACAACAAAATAAACAAAGAGTTGCTATATCTTATTCCCTAAGGTTTGAGTTGTGATTTACTGTTAGAGGGATCCGCTCCCATAGACGGACAGGCTGTAGATCCAGGAATCAGACTGTAGAACGAGGACTGAGGCTGTGCAGTGCAGGACTGAAGAGGTTCCAGGTGGAGAGGGGAGTGCAGCCCATATTATATTTGTGAGAAATAGTTATTACATTGGTGGGGCTTACAAGACATGTGATAAAGCCAAATTAAACCTCATCAAAAGAACACGAAGACATTGGTTCAAATAGATATTTATTTCTCATCAAATAAAACAAAAGTTGAAGCACGAACAGAAGATACTCCACATAAATAAGACATTCACACTTCAAAAATAGAGCAGTCCCTTTTCATAGCACTTGCTGTCCATTTGAACGGAGTAAAAACTATAACCGCATAGCTATAGTTGTTGTTAGCACATCAGGCTAACATGCTAACCCTGTTGAAATACCCTATCCAGATAATATAATGAGTCCATGGTTGAAATGCCCACCCATGGCTTTCAGAATGGGGAATAAGCGAACAACCATTGCAAACTTGAGATTATATATTTTGATAGGAATGACATGTAACCGTGGAGACCGATGGCAAATAGGTAGTTCTAGTGAAGCGCAAATGAGATCACACATTTTTTAGATACAACATTTTAACAGGAACATAAAAATACTTAGAATGATGACACTAATCCTAAAAATGTTGTTTTTAAAAGCATTAAATAGTGACCATGAAGACAGGGTGAGGAGCTCAGTCACATGGGAGAAGCTCAGAGTAGAGCCGCTGCTTCTCCACGTGGACAGGAGGCAATTGAGGTGGCTCAGGCATCTGTTTGGGAAGCCTCCAGGAAGAGACCAGGGGAAGACCCAGGAAAGGCCTTGAGATTCCCCCGGATGAGGTGGATGAAGTGTGTGTGAGAGGGAAGCGTCTCTGCTCAGACTGCTGCCCCCACGACCCGGCAACGGATAAAGCAGAAGAAAACTGATGAATGGATGGCATTACATGCTATCAGCAGCATTTGAACAGGTAATAGAGTGTAGCCTGGACATGAATCATTTGGGGCTAACTTTATGTGACAAATAAAACCATACAAAACCAGTACAGCCACTTTTACATGTCAATAAATAAAAGGCAGAAATTTAGGTTTTCTTCGTAAAAACATTCAAAAGGAACGAAAAGAGTGATTTTGTGATGTGTCGTTTTGAAATGTAAACAGAAGAGCGTTTTTCAGATTTCTTGGTAGGACGACTTTGGGGCCGTGTAGTCATCCTCAGCGCTCCTGGAGGAAAAATGAAATGAGTAAGTAATCTTCATTGATATTTCTCTTTTCACAGAGAGTAGCAAAGACGTTTGGAAGGAAATAAAAGTACATTATGCTAGTGCGACTCGGCTCTATCAGCTTGCAGGGTAACTCTACCTGCCCCTGTAAATAATGAATGAGTAAAACCAACGCAACTAAATGTCACAATGTTGTGAGGAAAGATTGTACACATGTTGGTCAGCCTTAGGAGCCGTATTGTGGAAAGATGTGTGAATTAGAAAAGTTCATTATAAACATATACAAGTTTAAAGGAGGCCTTCTCTCTGCTTTTGTTTGGTCTTTCAAATATCCTGCAGGACACTGCTCCAGAAAATATCACAGTAGTAGTGGCAGCAGCTTCAGTAATAGGAGTAGGAGTAGGAGTAGGAGTAGGAGTAGGAGTAGGAGTAGGGGTAGGGGTAGGGGTAGGGGTAGGGGTAGGGGTAGGGGTAGTGGTAGTGGTAGTGGTAGTGGTAGTGGTAGTGGTAGTGGTAGTGGTAGTGGTAGTGGTAGTGGTAGTGGTAGTGGTAGTGGTAGTGGTAGTGGTAGTAGTAGTAGCTGTAGCTGTAGCAGTAGCAGTAGCAGTAGCAGTAGCAATAGCAGTGGCTGTAGTAGTAGTAGCAGCAATAGCAGTAGCAGTATTAGTGGTAGAAGTAGTAGTAGCCGCAATAGTTGGTAGTAGCCAATAGCAGTAGCAGGAACAGTCTATTACTGAAGTTTTTTTTTTTTTTTAGAAGTCAACCTTTTTTGACCATGCCTCATGCATCACACCCTAAATTTGTTATTTTCAAATAATTAGTGAGTATAACGTATAAAACAAAAATTGTGCTTTGACTCATGTACGTGATATGTTGAAGACAACATGAGCAACGACATTTTGGAATGTTTGTGTATCAACACTTCCCCCTTTAACTACAGAAAGAAATTCCAAAAAAATAGACTTATTTCCTTTATCAGATATCACTGAAATATTATTCAAATGAAAAGGAGAAATATTAACCTTGAGGAGGGTAATTAAAAACTACCATCTCCCAAATTGAATACACATTTTTTGTATTGTTATTATCTTATCAAAGATTTCAAGGGCCTTGAATCTGGCTTTGTCAAATTGAACCAGATTCAAGGCACTTACTCTGGCTCGAGTCCCTGACTAAAACCTTTACTACGGCAAAAAACTCACTGTCAAAACAGCAGAAATCTCCAATCTACTGTCAACTATTCATCATTAAGTACCATATACTCACATTAGACTGTATATTCTGTCACACTCCACACTATAGCAGTCAAAGTAATAATAGCAGTGTCAGCAGAAAAAGATTATCAGATATGTTTGTGATAGAAGCCTCTCGCAGGAGCAGTAATCTAGTATTTGAGCTGTGTTTGTGGTTTCATGGTCTTAATGTAACCATATTTACTTTATTTACAGTGACAACAGAGGCGTGTGTGTCTGTTTGTCCACAGCAGCTCACAGCCTCACACCAACCAACACCTGTGGCAGGATATGACTCTCTGAGCGCCACTATCAGGGCAGCTGTAGCGACCGTGGCAGTAGTGAGAGTGGTAGTAATAGCAGCAGTAGTAGTAATACTCGTAGTAACTGTATTAGTTATAGCAGTCGTAGTAGTAATAGTAGTGACTGTAGAAGTAGTAGCTATAGTAGTAGTAGTACAAGGAGGAATTGTATTAGTAGTAACTGTATTAGTAATACCAGAAGTGGTATGGTAGTAGTAACCAACTGTAACCAGTGGTAAAGCCAGAATACTGGTTGTAAAATGTATAAAATGGCAGCAGTGATAACAGCAGTAGTGAGTATAGTGCAGCAGTGGAGTATAGTGCAGCAGTGGAGTATAGTGCATTAGTGCAGTAGTGGAGTATGGTGCAGTAGTGGAGTAAGGTGCAGTAGTGGAGTATAGTGCAGCAGTGGAGTATAGTGCAGCAGTGGAGTATAGTGCAGCAGTGGAGTATAGTGCAGCAGTGGAGTATAGTGCAGCAGTGGAGTATAGTGCAGCAGTGGAGTATAGTGCAGCAGTGGAGTATAGTGCAGCAGTGGAGTATGGTGCAGTAGTGCAGTATGGTGCAGTATTGCAGTATAGTGCAGTAGTGGAGTATGGTGCAGTAGTGGAGTATAGTGCAGTAGTGGAGTATAGTGCAGTAGTGGAGTATAGTGCAGTAGTGGAGTATAGTGCAGTATAGTGCAGTATTCCTGTATAGTGCAGTAGTGCAGTATAGTGCAGTAGTGCAGTATAGTGCAGTATAGTGCAGTATAGTGCAGTATAGTGCAGTAGTGCAGTATAGTGCAGTATAGTGCAGTAGTGCAGTATAGTGCAGTAGTGTCCTGGAGGACGCTGCAGAGAATGAGTCAGCGCTACACTCTTCAGACAGATGCAGAGTCCACAAGTCCAGACCTGAACCAGCAAACGACCAAACTGCAGCGGAGGACTAAGGACCTCACAGACACAACACAGCAGCTGCCACAAAACCATTACCCTTGATGATTCACTTCAGGATAATATCTCATTTAAATACTCAGATCATTGAGCGTGGACGCCCTCATGCTAGCTTGGAGGCCCTCATGCTTCACAGCAGGTTGTGGGTTCTGTTTGGAGTTTGCATTTCGAGGATAGCCCTAGATGTAAAGCATTTATTTTACTTTTCAGGCATATAAAAAAAACAAAAAAAACATTGGTCTTTGAAAAAAGCTTTTTGGAGATCAGATCAGTCTTTTCTGAAATTGATTAAAAAGAACATTTTCAAAACCCAGCAAAACTGTTCAATTCTAAAACTATTCAGCATTTGGTGTCTGAGATTGACTGTATCGTTTATGTTTTGGGTTGAGGGGAAAATCCGGAGCCTGGAAGAAACCCCACAAAGACATGGGACGAAACATGTAAACTGTAAAGCAACATTTAAGGACATTTATCAACACTTATGGACATTGGTATTGGTCGATAAGGAGCAGATGACCAATGTGTTTTCTGTTTCATTTCAACGGTTGTGTAAAGTGCTCCGAGACTGTTGAGATTTAGAGCTATACAAGAATACATGGAATTGAATTGAACTAAACTCTGCATTGAGTGTGGTAAAAAGTGTTCCAGAAAGGGCTGGTGTGGCCGCAGGTTTTGACTCTAAGCAAAGCAGGAGCACACTAGACTCCACCCATTTCCTCAGGTCTCCAGGTTCAGACTGGACTTACTTGAGGACATGTGAGTGGTGTCTGGTGTGCTCCTGCTTGGTTGGAATCAAAAATCTGCAGCCACATGGCCCTTTGAGGACTGGTTTGACATCCCGGATCTATGCCATTTTGCAAGTGTTTTGAGTGCAGAACACTACTGACCCAGAATTGGTCCAGTTAAAGTGAACCAGGGCACTTATGATGCTGCTGCCCAAAGCTTGAATAAAATGTGTGACAAAATTAAGGTGGCTTCACACTTGGTAGAAGAAACTTGTTGTATTTTGTGCTGCAGATCGACAAGTGTGAACAGGCCTTCAATTTCACTATTTCACAAGTCCCGCTTTTATGAACATATCGAAATCTTACACCCCTTCTCTGTATAAAAAGTCAGTCAGCCCAGTCAGAAAAATTTAAGAGTAAAACGCAGACATATGGATTCATTTTTTAAATAAACAAACCCATTCTTGGGAACGAGGAGGGAAAATCCAGTTTAGATAGAGCAAAAGAAAACTGGAAACCACTCATCAAACAGAGGAGATACCTGGGTTGGGGATGTGGGCCTGGAGGATATTATCCATCGTAAAGAAACAAGAAAGGCATGACACGTTAGTTTCATGGTCTGCTGTGCTCCTCAGCTCTGCATTCATGATTCTACACATCTATATTGTTTACATGGAGTGAAAGATGAACCACACACTGCCTCATTGTCTCTGTGGATGTGGAGTTGTGGTTATTTAGTCAAGTTCAATGCATAATTGATGTTTGTAACAAGTGAAAATTGTACAAATCATGTGTCGTTGTGATACTGAATTTGGTGCGGTAGAATTTGGCTTTGTTATAAATATATCACCTGGACTGTTCGTTCATATGGTTTAGTTTAAGAGGTTGCATATTGTCTTCTTAGTGGATGAAGTTGTAAGTATAATTTATGGGGTTTTTTTTGTCTGGTACAGAAGAACCAAATAACTTCCCAATATTTCTGGACTACAAACCACTATTTGTTACTACTTCTTTGAACCCTGTGGCTTATATTATGATGCAGCTACTGAGTATTGTGGTAGAGTTGGGCTGTTGTAAGAGCAGATTTCATCACGTTTTAGTGTCTATAGGACAATAGTTTAGTGTCAAAATAGACTGGTGAATGAATCATGGTTATCAACGGTTAAGCTTTTAAACATATTGTCATTAAATCATGTTGTGACCAGTTAAAACAGCTACATTACAACACGTGCGCCTTATAATCCATAAAGTATGATATAGTTTGTTCTGCATTTATGTGAGCTGAACATTGTGATTTCATTTTTCCAAGTAAAAATAGAAGTTTTATGTGGCCCTCACCTCGTCTCCTCTTCTTTGAGCTTCTGAGCTGCCTGCTTTGACTGCTTTATCTGCAAGTCCAGTCTCTGTAAGAAGTCTTTGGCGGACAGCTCCTCTGGTTTCTGCTGCTGGCCTGGGTCTTCAGGGGGGGGAGGAGGCGTGTGGCAAGGAGAAGGTTCCTCTATGTCCTGTGTCACCAGTGAAGGCGAGTCCGAGTCGTTGTCGGGCGATTCCAGAGAGAATCCGTTAAAAATGAAGCGTCTCTGAGTGACCATCGGGATGTTCAGAATGCTCTTGAGGAAAATGCAGTCGTTGTTGAACAGCTTGTTTGCTCGTTTGATTCGCTCCATCTGCGACAGCAACAGGAGAGAAGACAAGATCAGACAAGCTTTGGACAAAGAAATAGACTATACTAAACTACAAAACCAAAAGTGTACATGATCTGCACGTTTTGTGACCCTGGTCTGTGGAAGGCGCTACATAAATATAGATGACTTACTTACTAACTTAATGTAAAAGCTGTCAAACTGACTTAACGCACAAAATACAGCAGTGGGAATGCCAGGAATCACTCAAGGAAAGAAACACAAAAATAAGACACACAAAAGTAAAAATATGTACACAAATAATAATAAATCTATGCATATAACTTCTTCGGCTGGTGCATAGAAAATACTGCACTATGCAAAGCAGAACGTGTATGAGATTATGTCTTTTAAACATTAGAATACCAAGGACCGCAGTGGCCTTAATGGAAAACGAAACTCCATAGTTCAGTCTCAAATGTGTACCGGGAACTCGCTGGGCTCACTATGAAGCCTTGTTTGAGAACTATATTAACTCAATATTAACATTATCAATAATAGGATTATAAGTGAGGGAACAGGTAGTTTGCAGAGCACAGACACAGATGAGAAGCATTCAAATAATGGCTAATGCAACGCCCCATTTTAGTCGATTAATCCTCAGTCGACTACGATGCAGGTAATGAAAATACTAAACCCTGCATTTCAGCAACAGTGCCCACTTTATTAACACATACAGTAATATAGCATGCTGCTCTGGCGGTGTCTTTGCAGTAAATATCTGCAGTGAACAGATATTTGACGGTATATCTGTGATCTCCATAGTCTCAGGTCTATGGTCTCCGGTCTCTCACCGTGACGCCGTATTTGAGTGCGATGCCCTGCAGAGTGTCGCTGTCCGTAACCCGATGCTCCACAAACTTCTCCCCCAGAGAGGCAGACACGGTGGCGGTGCTCCCGTACGAGCGGATCTTGGTGCGGGCGAGGCTCTGGGACAGTTCGCTGTCGGACTCGGAGCCGGACCGGGAGCGAGGGAAGATGGGCTGACCGAAGCCTCCTCCAGCCTCCCGTAGCGGCAGCACGGGGGAGTAGTCCGCCATGTTCTGGAGCTGGCAGGGGTCCCACAGGGGTCCCAGGGGTCGTGGGGCGCTGAGAGCCGTCAAGACCCGCAGAAGAGCTCAGGTTCGAGCCGCAGGCTGCGTCCTGTCCCGTGGAGCCGCGGGGCACACGGACATGTTTACAGAGCTGCTCACGGTAACGGAGACGCTATCCCGCTATACTGACGTCACCACGCAGACAGCACGTACAGCTTGCACTTCCGGTGATTGAAAACGGTATTTATGTGTGCAATATTGGCTCAGAGAAGTGATTTTAAAGCAGCTGTGTTTGTCTACAAGTCTCCCCCTGTCCAAAGTACATCTGTGACATGTTAGTGCCAAATGAACCACCTCAGACTCTGAGGAGCACAGGGACTGGCCTCCTGCTGGTGCCAGAGTCAGTAAAAACATGAGATGCAGATATTGTGAAAAGGTAATAACGTACTGTGGAAAAATATACATTATATTAAATCAATGCAAGCTTGTGCTAACACAAAATCCTTTACGAGTGTGGGTGATTTAGATCCTGTTTGTTTGGCAAAATGAATGAGTAATTCCCATAGTTTATTTCCATGTAGACAGTGTGACATTACTTCCCTTGACTGGCCAGACAGAAATACCAACTTCTCCTACTCATAGCTTTAACATTTTTTTCAAACTTTGCAGTACATCCATAGATTTTTATCTTGATTAAAAAAAACTGGTGTTGCATAAAAGGCGGAGGGTGAAACTCATTCATATTTTATTTTTTAAATGTTGTGGTCTTCTGTGGAATAAACAAGGAAACATTTTTGTGGTAGCAGTGCTGCCTCCTTAACTGGGTCAATGTTAAGGCTTTCACTTCTGCACTTTATTTACAGAAAAACCATCATGTCTTTGTTTAGATTTAATAGTTATCAACTTGTTAGTTACAGTTACTCAGGTATTTCCTCTGACTAGAAGAAAACTATAAGGCTTAAGCAATGCAACAGCAGTCACACAGAGATGTCAGAAATCTATTCTCAGTGCTAATTGTGAATGTATTTAACTTTACATTATAGGTACACACTCTCTCACACACACACACACACACACAAACACACACACGCACACACACACGCACGCACACACGGACACACACAGCTTAATACGTTTGACCACCTGAAATCCATTCAGTTGGTTTCAGTTCACTTATTGGCTAAATAAGTTCATGTTCAAGAATTCTATTTCTTTATAGGGCAGGTGCCAATACAATTTATGAAGCAATTTTGTAAAGAAATGTTGAAGAATAGAATGTCCACATGTTTTTCCAGATAATTATAGATCATGCTTATAGAGTCACAAGGCTGCCTTATTATTCAAACTTATGAATGTCCTTTCTACTGGCTTTTAAGATATTGTCACAACTTCTACACCAGTGTTCCCCAACCTTTTTGAGCTGGGTCTCACCTTTGTCATTGGAACAAACTCACATGGCACACAACCAGCTGAAACTGAAAAAAATCCTGAAACTCTGCAGCCTTTATTAACGAAGCAAAGTCATTCTCATCAACGTGTTTTATATGGAAAATCAAACCGGTGGCTGTTGTGTGTGCAGCAGGGGGAGGCTGTGTGTCTTTGTGCAGCTCATGTTTCTGGACTAATCAGGTTTGAATGGTCCGTTTGTACAGCCGACACCATGGTAACGCACACGATGTATTTGTTAAATTAATGTAACGCTTAATGTCACGTATCATTGAAGGCCTTTTACAGCAGAGGAGCGACAGAGGAGGTGGGCAAAACATCAGACAGTATTTCATAATGAATGAAACTCCTGCTGCCACTTGAAGAGGGAATGCATTCAACATAAATGTAAGCCTGTTACAATACAGTACCTCTCGGAAGTACTAATACACCTCAAACTTTTGCTCGTTTTGCCCAGTTTACAACCATAAAGATACAGATTTAGTTTTGTTTTGTTTTTACTGAAGTAACCTGTGAAGTGAAAGCAAAATGATACATGATTGTGTTATTCTTTTAAAAATAATAAGTTTCTCTATTTTTCCCACTGGGTTTTTTTTAGCTCCTATGCAGAAGGGTCTAGGACGGTGATGGTCCGGGACATTTAAGGACCACTGGGTCTATGGCTGTGTGTTTGTTGATATTGCATTTCCTGTTTGATTCATTGATCTGTTTTTGCCGAATCAACAAGTCTGTAATGTCTTATGAGCATGGATCTATTCTGAGGCAACTACTGTTGTGATTTAAGGCTAAACAAAAATAAATGTAATTGAATTAAAGGTAGATGAAGGGTTTTCCCAAATTTAAGGAAAAAAATGATAGGAAAGAACTGTCCTCCTCAGAGGGAACGCCTAAAACATGTCTCGCATATCACCAGAATGATTGACAATTAGGAGGACCAATAGATGATCCACCTGGAAGAAGAAAATCCTCCCATATCCAGTACCTTAAGCGGCACAATTACAACAATAGACAAACTGTTCCTTTTTCTGGTCTTTCAGAAGGATATTCAAAATATACACAGTGGAACCCAGAATAATTACCCAGCTTTCATGAGTGTGCCTTGTAAGTCAAAATGTGCCATAGATACAAGATGTTGCATATTTTCATGAATTCATTAAAGTTGTTGCCCAAAGTGCTGGGATCTGATTTTAGAGTCAGTGTCACATTAGAGCTCAGACAGACTTGATGATATTCTGACCTACATTATGTACTTTTTTGCCTTCTACTTTGTTGCCAAAAAGGGATAGAATAGGTTGATTGGTTAATGTAAATGTTTATTTAAGCTGACTTTATTAAATTATCGTCTAGTTTTACAAAACAATGTTTTGAGCGGAGTGTGGGGGGGTTGTGACCCCTCGTGGAGAACAGGAGTACTAAAATACAGCGGCCCTAACTATTTCAACCGATAGATGGCGATATTTCCAAATAATATTTCCAGCCTACCTCAAAGTAATTCATGCCCCTTTAAAAGGATGACGTGTTGTTGCTTTTCCCATCCAACCCCCTGATTTTGGGGTTCAATATTTATAATTTTTCTCGAATTTTTTCATCAAGGCAAGATTTTTTATGGCACAGCTCATACACAAGGCAACTCAAAGTGATTAACAAAATTAGATCAATCATACAAGGCATTGATATCGGTAGAAGCCTGACTCTTTTTAGGAAGACTGTTCCAGATTTAAGCGGCATACAGTATGTCTGAAATGCTGCCTCCCCATGTTTAGTTCTGGACAGCAGGAGTCCCTGTGGTCCTCAGAGTCCAGCTTGGTTCACATGGAACTAACATATCACAAATACTTTATAAGGGGGAATAAGTCATTTCTTATGGCTAAATATGACTCAATTATTCTGTTTATTTTCTTAGCTCAGTTTTTAATGAAATTGAGAAAATGAAGAATGCTTTTGCTGCTGCCATTGTAATTGTTTGAGTGGCATAAATGTGCCATTGTGACAGGTCGAGTCCCATCCAGAACTGTACTTAACTGTGATGAATGAGGAACTACAGCATGTACAATGTAAAGTCAGATTACAAAACCCCATTTATACTGTATAATTCTGCATGAGATCATCTGTTGGCATTGATCCACTTTGTCAAAACTTGAAAATTCAAACCATGTTTTGATCCACTCTTAGATCTAACATGAACGTTAGTGCGGCTGATGTCAGTAGAAAGGGTGAGAACCATTTAAAATTGTCACAAAATATTCCTTTGTAATCTGGTGCACAAAACACATTCTTTGGAAATTAGCCAGTGGTTTTGTTAGGGCTTGATAAGTCAAGTATTTTATAGTGGGAGAGGTCCTTCTTCAAGTAAAGGAGTTCAAGTTTCTCAGGTCATTTTCACAAGTGAGGGAAGGATGGACTGTGAGATTGATGGACAGATCAGTGCCATTAAGAGAAAGAAGAAAAACAAAGCCCTTGATTTATCGTTCAGCCCTACGTTCCCTCCTTCCCCTATGGTCATGAGCTTTGGGTAAGATCTCAGATACAAGTGGCCCACATGAGTTTCCTCCACAGTGCTGTCTTTGAGATAGAGTGAGGAGCTTGAAGTAGAGCCGCTGCTTCTTTATGTGGAGAGGAGCCAGTTGAGTCGGCTCAGGCATCTGTTTGGGCAGCCTCCTGGAAGCCTCTCTGGGGAAGTGAGACCAGGGACACGTTGGAGGGACTGTGTCTCTCAGCTGTCCTGGGCACGCCTCATGATTCCCCCTGGATGAGCTGAAGGAAGGGTTTGCGGAGTGGGAAATCTGGCAGCGACTCCACTCCGAGCTCCTGTGTGGCTGAGCTCCTTACCTTATCTCTGAGGGAACGCCGTGCCACTCTGCAGAGGAAACTCTTTTTATCTCACATTAAAAGAGCAATGAGTAACAGGAAGTAACATTTTAAACATAGACTCTGAGTCAAACTTATAGAAATTGAAATCCTAAAATAAGAATCTTGTCCTTGTTGTGTGAACAGTAGAGTCCAGGCCACAGTTTTCCATTGTGCAAACCCCATGAGTCTGAACTGAACACAGGCTGTGTTGGACCTACACAACATCGTTCACCGGCTTTATTTTATTACATTTCACAGGTCTTTTTTCCATGCAGTAAGACCTAAGACTCAGCTGTCCTCACTCACCTCACACCAGCGGCAAAATCTGGATTTATACAGCTCTTTGTGCCGGATGACCGAATGGAAAACACATTTATGTATAAATCGAGGCATTAAAAAGTGCTTTTCTGTTGAAAATGTGTTTTTCTTAACTCTCAATAAATACCACACATTTACCGCCTGAGCCTGCAAATGCTCGGGCAAATGGCAGTGTTTTATTCTCGTTGTAATCTCTTTATACCACTGTCAATCTCAGTATTCACTGATGGTTCTCCAGCTGAAGATGTTCTCGTAAACACATGGGGAGCAGTTCAGCCTTTTGAGGAACAATTTAAGAGTCAGCAGCTGTGGAGGTCTGGCTCTGGGACCTGGTGGAGGTTTGGAGCCTCGGCTTCATGTCTCCTCTGGTCCTGTGTCGTCCCCTGTGGCTGCAGGCGGCTCTCTGCTCCTGGTGCAGACGGCTCCTTGGATGACGCTTCT